CAGACAACAAAGGTGTCTCTCCTGTCTTTCTTTTCCAAGCGCTATACCCCCCATGTCCCAACAAGGCGTGCGTGTTTACCTTGCCCAGAGTTCAGAGTGCTCTAGACACTCACGACAATTCACATTCAGATGTTTCCCAGGACGGGGGCGTGATCAGCTGGTAGCCATCCTGGAGAGGAGCCAACTGAGCTCAGAACACAGAATAGTTGTGAGCTAACACCATCTAGCAGCTCCTAGTGTCAGGGTGAGGCAGAACTGATTTCAAATTGGCAGATCAAAGAGCAGAGTTCAAGCCAGCAAGAGGCACATGGAGTGTTTCAGGCTGAACAAATCAGGTTCCAGAAAAACAGCTGTATTTAGTGAAACTAAGGGTGCAAAGTTACTGAGATAATCCACTTCTAATTTTTTTTGATCCACTTCTAATTAATCAACACAGATATGGATTCTGTCTACTTTGTCTATTAGTGACAGCAGAGACACAACTTGAAGATGTGTTTTTTTTCTTTTTGTTTACTTCTTGTTTTTATGAGTGTGAATACTGTTTCTAGTCTTGTGATTTTGTTTTTTATTTCTTCTTTCTCTTTCTCTTCTATCTTTACTAGTTTCCCAAAGTTGGCATCATCGTCTTTTGTCCTCCAGCTTTGCTTCTAATTTCTTTCTCTTCTGTATTTCTCTATTTTTCCTGCCTCAACTCTTTAAAATTTTCTCCTGAGGGTAAAAACATCATATGAGAGCGTATTTACTGTATACAATTTTCTGCCCTCCCCCCCCCCCCTTTTTTGACAGGGTTTTAGTATGCACTTCAGGCTGGCCTTGAACTATGTAGCCCAGGTTGGCCTTGAACTCCAGGTGATATTGTCTCGGCCTCCCGAGTGTTGAGACTACACAAGTGCACCACCACACCCAGTTCTGGTTTTAAGATTTTGTTATATAACCACAAATCTAGTTCATATAGTTAAAAATGGCAAATTAATACTTATCACAGTCTGTCATTTTCTAGGCTGTGTTTGATGCTACTGTTATTGCTAACTGTACTACTTTAGCTATAGTGACATGATTGTTCTAATCAGTTGTTCTTTCTGGTGTACCACAGCTGAGATTGCCTACGGCTCATAAACAAAAGTATATAGGCCAGTGGCAAAGAACAAGCAGTTAGGCCAAATATGCAACTTCTGGTCCCCGATAAATTGAAGAGATAGGCTTTTGCAACAGACTCAAAATAATGTCTTAACCAACCCCAAAATTATGTATAGTAACTAGGTATGGTACTGAATACCTACAATCCTAACAATTGAGGAGGCTAAAATAGGATTGCCAAATTTGAGCCTACCCTAGGGAACTTAGCAATTCCCCACCTCAAAAATAAAAGAGCTGGGGATGTAGCTTAGTGTTAAAACCCTAGGTTCAATCCCCAATACTGCGAAACAAAACAACACAACAAAGGGAGACACTGTCCAACAATCTGAACACCACAGCCACAGTGCAAGAGCTCCCTCCAGCAGTGAGGCTGCCACTTTGGAGGTGCAGGGTGCAGAGTTGGGGTTATTTTTACACTCAGGAAGGTTTAAAGCAGCTCCTTCCAACAATCTAAAGAGGGGCAGAGGGGATAAGAATAGTGAGTCTATGATATACATGACTCTACCTCATGTAACTACAATTCTAGTTTCTTTTGTCTCTTACTCTGACAAGAGTAAGAGTAACAAGTCTATGAGATACATGACAATTACGGTCAAAGTAGTAAATTACTGTTTGGAGTGGTGGTACAGCTGTAATCCCAGCCCTCTGGAGACTGAAGCAGGAGGATCACCATGATTTCCAGGTTAGCTTGGGCTACCTCAACTATATAGCAACACTCTGTCTCAAAAAAATGGTGACGGGGCTGGGGTTTCAGCTCAGCGGCATAAGCGCCTGCCTTGCAAGTGTGCAGTTGTGAGTTCAATACCTGGTACTGATAAAAACGAAAAAGATAAAAAAAAAAAGTGATTTTTATTTATTTATTTTTTTCTTTTTGGTATGAGGAATCAAACTCATGACCTTGTGCTTGCCAGGCTGGTGCTGTGCTGCTAAGCTATATTCCCAGCCCCCAAATTACTGATTCAAAATACTGATCGATGAAACAGAAACATTCTCCCCTTTGCAGATCACCAAAAACACTGAACCTCTGGGCTCAGCATTCTCTCCCCTTCTCGCCTCTGGCTATCATTGGCCATGGCCTTTCCCTTCATCAGGAACTCTTTGACTGTCGACTATAACCAGATAAGTTCTGGTTTTTATAACTCCCCAGTGGTGCTTGTTCTGGGAGCCTTGGTTCACCATCCATCCCAACATAGGTCTATTTTAACACCACATCCTCCCAGTAGTAGATGCAGTAGAGTCTAGTCTGATTCAATTTGGTTCCATCATAACCTCGTTTTCATGGCCATTCCTGACAAGCTCTATGGCTGAGAGCTATGTAGTTAATCAGCTTGTCTTTCCAGAAACGGCAGTTTAGATTAGCCATTATAATTGAAAAATACTGAAACTAGGTAGTGGATACATGGAAGTTACATTAATCCCTTTTCCAACATGCTTAAAATTCCCCATAACAAAAAGTTTAAAATTAACACATTAAGCTGTTTATGGCCTTGGCTTATGCCAAGCCTCAGTAAACAGGCAACATTGCTGAATTCTGAGAAGACACCAATGGGTCTCTCCATTCACTGACAGTTGACAGTTCCCTGGCTTCCACAGTGAGACTGCGCAAGAGGTATGTTAGACATGAGGCCTTAGATTAGTGTGATAAAGGAAAGAAATTTAACTCTGAAAAAGGGCCATCTAAAGGTTTAAAGGGTTCAAGCAGGAGGATCACAGTGTAGCTTGGGGTCCCTGGTCCTGAATCTTTAGTCTTATCTACATCATCAGCTACCTCAGACAGTAAACCTGGTGCTCCAAGATGATGGAAAACTGTTCACTCAGGAAACAATAAAAAGCTGGGTATGGTGGTGCATGCTTGTAATCCCAGCACTCAAGAGGCTGAGGCAGGAGGACCACTGTGAGTTCAAGGCCAGCCTCAACTACATTGCAAGCTTGTTTCTAAACACTAAAACCAAAACCAACCAAACAAAACCACCACAAAAACAAAAGAAAGGAGAAAGAAATAAAAATAAAAATAGAAATAAAAACAATAAAATAGGAGCAATGAATAAGCAAATGTAAATTCATGGTACTGAAATATTTATAATTAGCTCTAGTGTCACCACACAAATCACTAATTATAATACCATATGTGTCTTTTTAAAATATACAAGCACTTAGAGTAATTTCTCTTCTTTTTTAACCATGACTGTGTCTTCCAAACTTAGAGTAATTTCTAGCTGTGGATTGTGTAGCTCAGTGGCAGAGACTTGGGCATGGTCCTCAGGGTGGGATGCTAGAACTAGGCTGTTTTAGGGCTACCTGGAAGCAATGGGGGAGCACAACTGAGGGGCAGAAGGACTTCCTTGAGGCTGCTGTATTGCTCTAAGGAGCCCCTTCTGCTGCAGATCTTCATGTTATCACCTGAGCAGCTATCTACCCCCACCTTTCATTCCTAGGCTCCCAACCTTGGCTACCCTCTATAATCTCCTAATGATCCTATCCCCAGAGATTCGGATTTAACTGATCATGCGTGGAGCTGGCATAAGACTATGGAAAACTCCCCAGGTGACTGTAATGAATAACCAGGGCTGAAAAACACTGATCTAACTGTAAGTCATCTTGACTTCCCTTTGTAATTTTATGTTCCTACCTCATGCTGCGGTTATGTCTGTTTCTTCCCTCTCCTGCTACTCCAGATGACCTTCCAAACAATACACGCAGCCTTCACACACTGACTCAAGTGGCTGTTATTGCTGGAGTTAGCAATCACACTTCACGTGGAGTTAGGTTCTACAGTCAATGCTTATAGCACCATGAGTCAAAAGTCACTGTTGGGGCTGGGGATTTAGCTCAGTGGCATAAGCGCCTGCCTTGCAAGCAGGCAGTCGTGAGTTCGATCCCCGGTACCGATAAAAAGGAAAAAAGACAAAAAATAAAAAAAGAAAAGTTGCTCTTGATAATGCTGCGGCAAGGCTCTGGACCCTGACATACTGTCTATATAGTTTTCTCCTAGACAGGAACAGAAAGCTGCCTCCTCCTCCGGGCACCAAAGAAGGTAGGTGGTTTGCATCTGGGGAGTCACCTTGCATAAAAGATACACTTAAACACCTGCTTCAGCCCAGCAGGATGCTCATGCTATGAACAGCCCATAGGAATGAGTGACCAACCCTACAAGAGACTCGTATCTTCCATCTCACACCCACTCCTGAGCATATGGTCCTCATAGCCACCAGTGGGTGGAATCACCCACACCACTTAAGATGTTTCTGTCAAGGCTAGAGAGCTGAACTCAAGTGACATGCCACATGGACAATGTCCTTCCACTGCACAACTACGTTTAGCTTACGTGAGCCTTTCTCTTCCTCTACTTGCCCTACACGTAGCTGGCTGGCTAGCCTCTCTTCACTGACTTCTCTCCTAGCCCTTTCTCTCAAAGTTGCTGTTTGCTAAGATTCTACTCATTAACTCGACCCCCCAGGGCTCTCAGCTCTATCCGTGCACAGTAAAGAGTGGTGTGGCCTAAGAGCTCTCCCTAGCCAGGCATGGTGGTACATGCCTGTAATCCCAGCATTCAGGAGGCTGAGGCAAGAGGATCACTGAGTTCAAGGCCAGCTTAGACTATTGAAGCAAGTTCAAGGTCAGCCTGCACTACACAGGGAAGAAAGAAAGCTCATCTAGACCTGGAGGTCTGGGCTTATAGGACACAAAAGAAAACAGTGTGTTACAAGGGTTTTTTTTTTTTTTTTAATCAATTAATGAGAATGGGACTTCCACCAGCTTACAAGGAACCGTCCTCAACTCTCAGCTCTGCTCTGAAGCCTGCATCTCACCTGCTCATCTGAGATCCCAGGCTAGGCCATCTGCCACACCAAATTACACACAGCTCAGCAGTGCTCACAGGCCTTTAATCTGCAACTCCCTAGCCACATTTCATCACTGCCCCAGCATGGTGGGGAGGGATAAAGATGTATGCCCAGGAATGCCACACCAGCTCTGAGTCCAAGAGGGAAGGGCTGGGGTCAAGCTGGGGCCTGGGCTGGGGGTTCCTGGCCCCAGGCGATGAGGGAGTTGCTGGCCTGGGCAAGCTCGGTGATAGACACTCGGCCCCTCTGTCGGATGAAGTTGGCCACAGCAGCCAGTTCCTCTGGGGTTATGTAGATGAACTTGCCCCGGTCGTCAATCACACCTGTGGGGATATGCAGGTTGGAGGGCTGAGCCATTTGGGGCCCTTCCCACCTGGTCTGAGAATGCCCACCCGTCCTTTACAATTGGCTCAGCACCCTTTATGTCTCCTGCCTGCCTGGCCTTTCCCATCCAAGAAGACATGTCAGCCAGGCTTCCTGGCCTGTCCTTATCAACTGTAGCCAGTTTGATGCTGCTCTGCATGTCTCCTTCAACTGTGACCAACTACTCAGTGGCCCTTGGTGTGTACCTTTTCCCCATCCAGAAAGGTCATCCTGGCTCTGTAAGGAAATTCTGAAGTCCCTGTGGCTAGATATTTCCCAAGGTCAGGGCCTGCATGATTGATTCTCACTCTCTTACCTGTTAGAGTCCCCTCAGCCAGCAGGTCCTGGATGCGATTTATGGTGTCCTGTGAGGAGAACAATTGGAGAGACAGGTGCTGTTGTCCCCAGAAGAAAACACTTGCAGCACTCCTCTCACCACAGACAGATTCATTGTTATTTTTTTTTTTGTATTTTGGTGCTGGGGATTGAACTCATGACCTCATGCTTGCCAGGCAGGCGCCTATGCCCCTGTTAAATCCCCACCCCCTAACCCCTTTTTTCCTTTTTTGAGACAGGGTCTCACTACACAGTTCAGGCCAGCCTTGAGCTCACTTATTAGCTCAGACTGGTCTTAAACTTGAAACTAACTTCCTGTCTCAGTCTCCCAAGTTCTGGGATTACAGGTATGTACCACCACGCCTGGTTTTTCCCTTATTATTCTTTTTTTTTTTTTTTTTTTTTTTGGTCTTTTTTTCATTTTTATCAGTACTGGGGATTGAACTCACAACTGCCTGATTGCAAGGCCGCTGAGCTAAATCCCCAGCCCCTTCCTTGTTATTCTTAAAACTGCCCTGTAGTGTAACTCTGCTGCTTGTCTGCATGGGCCTCATTCTGAGCTCTGCAAAACCAATAGAGGCTCTCTTCCAGGTGGGAGGGCAGCAGCTGAGAAATGTGGTCACAAAGCAACCTGTCTGCATGGGAACTGTCAAGGTAATTGGATTTAGGCTGTTTTGGTCACAGGAGCTGGTGGAGGGATGGGATTTTTTTTTTTCCTTTCTGCTTATTCTTCTGTCTAGCAGAAATGCAAGATCTGAAAGTGCCAAGAGACACCTATGCACTATTTACACTTGGTTGAGGTTAAAGGAGAATTAGGAGTCTCCATCTTTACGTCAGGCCAATTCTTGCTGGCTGCACAAACTCCACAGGCACCTTCCAGGGCTTACCTGAGTCCGCAGGCCCACCTGGGAAGCCAAGTCTTCCAAAAGCACAACCTTGGACTGCTACAAAGGAAAGAGAGTAAAAGAGAGGCTGAGCTTGGGCAAATTCCTCCTATAGGGGCGCCCTCTGAGGTCAGCATTCTTTCTTTTTATTTTGGTACTGAGGATCAAATTCATGACTTTGCCTGTGCTGCTTGAGCTATATCCCCAAGCCCTGAGGTTGGCATTCTTATTTGAACTTGTCTGGTGAAAAATGTTTGTTTTTCTGGTCAGGCTGGCCCATGGATACTCTGGAGACTGAGGCAGGAGGATTCAAAGTTCAAGGCTGGGATACTCAGTGAGACACAATTCAAAATAAAATTTAAAAAGGGCTGGTGATGTAGCTTAGTGACAGCATTTGCCTGGTTTGTACAAGGCCCTGGTTGTACAAGGCCCTGGGTTTAATCCCTAGCATAGCCAGGTCACTGCCCTGCCAAAAAACAAAACAAAACAAAACAAAAAAACTTTAAAAAAACTGTCACCTTAGGCTGGGGATTTTTTTGAATGGTAGAGCAATTTCCTAGTACATAACACCCCCATAATCCCAGTACTCTGGGAGACTGAGGTAGACCATAAATTTGAGCTCAGCCTGGGTTACTTAGTGACTTAATGAGACTATGTCTCAAAAAATAAATGGGGCTATAAATGAGATATAGTTCAGTGCAAAGGCCCTGGGTTCAATCCTCAATATTTGCCACGGGGGAAAAAAAAAAAAGAAAGAAAAGAAAAAAGCAATCTGTCACCAAAGCTTGTGTTTGCTAAGGACCTCCAGGACACAGCACTGAAGAGGTACAAGGGACACAGTGATAAACAAAACACAGCCTCTACCCTCAAGATCACGGCCTGACTTGTAAGAAAGCACAAGAAGAGATCAACAAATCCCAACAAGTAGAGATGTTAGAGTGAAGCCAGTGGGAGTCACTCCTGCCTCATCTTTGCTCAATTCCCCTCAGCCTTGACCCCAACAACCTCATCACACCCAACTTCTGTCCATCCTCCTCATACAATCTAAGGGTGCACTAAGGCACCCTTAAAATAACCGTCACTACCAAGTGCTTCCACAGAGGACCCTGAGCTGCATTCCATGTGATGTCTTCATACTCTCAACGGAACTTCAGTTCTTGTGGCTCTGTGGAGAAGCCACCACAAAGACTCCACATGAACCCTCCCCTACCTCCTTCATGGTGTGTGACTCCCCAGGGAAGGTGGGCCTTTGTGCTTCCATGAATTCCCACAGCAAATAAGCTGGGGAGAAGCAACATTGTGACACCCCCTCAGCTGCAGATGGTATGTGACTTATCTGAAATGCCAATCCGTATGTGCAAACAGTGAGAGATAGTTGGGCCAGGGAGCGAGCAAGCATAAGGTCAGCTGGCCTCTACTTATGAAACAGGGAACAGACACTGGGCTCTTAGTGACAGCTCAGAGTAGGACCACAAAGTCACCCCAGATAATCCCCAAGGATCTAGCCTGAGGTGTGCTGTGCCCAAAGTGTGATTGAAAAAAAATAACAGACAAATCCAGCCATTGCCAGAAAACAGGACCAGCTGGGTCTGGGGGTACACATCTGGGGGTACACATCCCAGAACACAGGAGGCTGAGGCAAAAGGATTGCCACCTGTTCAAGGACAGCCTGGGCTCCCATAGTAAGCTCACAGCAAGTCTGAATTACACAAGACCCTGTCTCAAAAAACAAAAAAAAGCAAGCAGAGATAAGCAATAAGATCAAGCTTTCCTTGTATCTCACAGGAACTATGCAGAATAAAGAAACCTTCCTCCGGGATGGGGTTTTAGCTCAGTGGCATAAACACCTGCCTGGCAAGTGTAAGGTCATGGGTTCAATCCCTGGTACAAAACAAAACACCAAAAAAACCTTCAAGAAACCTTCCTCCAAACCAGGCACAGTGGTGCATGCCTGTAATCCTGGAATTCAGGAGACTGAGGCAGGAGGACCACTATGAGTTCAAGGCCAGCCTGCACTACAAAATGAGTTCAAGGTCAGCCTGAACTGCATAGCAATTCCTTGTCTCAAAAAAACCTTCCTCTAGTTCTAGAAACTGAAGTTCAAAGGGCTCATTCCCTTGGAGTGAGGAAACTGAACTTTGGAAGTCCTCCTTCCTGAAGACATGGGCTGGACAACCACCCAAGTACCAAGAGTCGAGAACCCCCAAGAGCAGAATCTCCAGGGAGTCACCAAAAGGAAGGCCTGGGGACTTGGTCTTTGCAGAAAAGAGGGGAACTCTAAATCTACCTGGAAAGGTTTCCTAGATGAGGCACTTTGAGACCATGTTGCTCCCCACTGGGCAGGGGGAACAACAAGCTCCAAGCAGCAACAGGATGATGGGTGGCATCTGCCTAGGGAACAGTCCTAATCCAGTGTGGCAGGATGGAGAAAGGGCTCCAGGAAAGGGAACTAGGAATACTCGCAGCTGGAGGGAGTCAGGTCCCCTGGCAGTTGCCATCATTTCTCCCTCTTAGGGACTGCAGGCCCCAGGCTGTGACATAAGGCCATCCCTTGCTGCTGGGAGGTATCTACACTCTGCTCTCTTCCAGAAGAGGTAGGAGAGGATTACGCAAGCCCTTGTTCCTTGGCAGCCCCTGGTGCCACCCCCACCGTCGCCCCCGCTCCCTCTGCACTCCTTCCCTCAGCCGCCTCTGCACCTCTGAGCTGCACTTGAAAACCTCTCCCCTCACCACAGTTTTCGTGGGAGAGAAGTTGCTTAGCAGCAAAGCAGATCAGAATGGGCTTATGCAACCTGAAGAAGTATCTGGGTGGCCTGTGCAGTGGCTATGGCCAGAAGGGAACACGCTGCCACACCATCCTGGTCCCTTGGAAGACCCAAATTCTCAGTCCAGAGCACATGGTAGGGGACACTTGTTTCAACTCAGTGGAGCTTCACATGACAAAACTGACAAAAAACACATGTGGAGACTCAAAAACAGTGACTCACTGGGCGTGGGATCTGAAGAGCGGGGGAACTGTCAGAGCCAGCGTGTGAGGAAGTGATCACCTCCCACAAAGATCCAGGTCCTTCTCCACCTTTCAGGTCCAAGGAGAAAGGGCCTCCTGGGCCAGAATCTGGCCCACCAGCCCTGAGAACATGCGTGCACCCTCCCAACATACACAGCAGGAGCTGACACTGTGCTCTTCTGAGCCTCTTACCTTAATGTAGTTGATGAATTCTGTCAGGAAGTTGTGGGACTAGAGAGGCAAAGAAATCAGAGTGAGCATCCCCCTGGCAGAGGCCACAGGAGTTCCTTCCTGGGGCCCTTGTGTCACCTCCCTGTGTGCCTATATAACCCCCTGCCTGCATAAGCAGCAGAGCCTCCCAGGGCGAGGGGCGAGGGTTCTGAGAACAAGGCTCTAACTGCCCAGCCAACTTCCAGGGCCTGGCCAGGAGTGTCTGGGATGGGGCAGATTTGGGCCTAACACAGGCTGCCCATGTTTCACCGGCTTCCCAGGAACAATGGCCCACCTGCTCCTCAGTCATGGTCTCGCCCACACCCTCCTCCTCCACCACAAAGGCCTCCTTCAGTTTTAGGTACTCCTCATGCTCTCGCCGGGCCTGCTCCTCCTGGGCCTTTCTCTCCTCCTCCTCCTGTGCACACAAAGAAGCAAGAGTCAAGTATGCAGGGCACCTGTCCAGACTGCCCAACCATCCGTACCGTCCAGCCTCTGCTTCCCTGCTTTCTTAGGGACACAGCTCCTTCAAAATTTCCATCCTTGGAGCTGGGGATCTAGCTCAGTGGCATAAGCACCTGCCTTGCAAGCAGGTGGTCATGAGTTCAATCCCTGGTACTGATTAAAAACAAAACAAAACAACTTCTATCCTCTGGCTCTCAAGCTAAACAAGCAGAGGCAACCCCCACCATCCCCATCATCGCCTAGACAAATGCAGGCCAGCCCTGCCCCCTACCCTTCTTCCTCAGGACACCTATTTGGTAGAAATGTCTTGAAACCCTTGAAGCCCTGCCACAGCCCCACCTTCTCCCTACCGAATTATGTCCACACTTCGTGAATAAACACCAGGCTCCATTTCCTACCCACCTATGCATCCAGCCAGCCCACTCCAATCTGGCTTCTGTGTATCCAGCTCCAACAAAACATCTGCTCAGGTCTAACCCATGCTTTCCAGCTCACAAATCGAAGGCCTATGAGGCCTTATATCCCTGTTCTTGGTGATGAGCAGAGCCAATGATCCCCTTTCTTTCCTTGGCTTCCACATTGCACCTTTTCTAGACTTTCTCTTTCCCCACCTCCTCTAACACTCAGCTTTGCTCCTGCTCCCTCCCCTACATCCTCTCTGGGTCACTCTACCTAGCCCATGACATCAATTTCCCCATCATTAACTGTCATAGTTGTATCCCCAGCCAAATACCTCCTCCCAAATACAACTGTTCACGTGACACATCACCTAGGCCATCTCACAGGCACCAGATACAACCTGTGATCCATTTCCCATGTTCAGCCCTCCTGCTGGACCCCTGACCACTGAATCATATAGGCATGTGGCCAGCTCCCCTGGTTAGAAATGAGGTTCCCCCCACCCTGCCTCTCTAGTTTCATAGAATACAGTGGACCACAACCTAGTGCAAAAACCCCCTTCTCCCAACACCTATTCAGAGGCATTCAGACAAATGCTTTAAAATACAAAGCTAAAGCTAGAGCATGCAGTCTAAAAATGAGCCTGGAGTGACCCATAATAACAGATAGCAAGAAAGTACTAAAAAAAACCAATACAGTAAAGCCATGTGAAAGGTACACAGAAGTCAGGGAGCCTGTCACACCAGCTACTTAGGAAGCTGAAGCAGAAGGACCCCAAATTCCAGACCTGCCTAGTCAACTTAGCAAGATTATGCCTCAAAATAAAATTTAAAAAGGGCTGATGAGTGGGCACAGTGATAGACATCTGTAATCCCAGCACTTTGGGAGGCCGAGGAAAGAGACTGAGAATTCAAGCCTGTCCTGGGCAATTTAGCAACTGGGTCAGAGACTGTCTTAAAAAAAAAAAAATAGAAAAGGGCTGAGGATGTAGCTTAGTGGTAGAATGTATGGCTAGCATGCACAAAGCTTGGGTTCAATCCCCAGCATTGTTCAAAAAAAGTGAATGTAGGAGGCAAGCGAAAGAACCCCCAGTGAAAGCTGGGCTCACTTGAGCAACATTATTTTATTAACATGGTATTGGATTAAACACAAAGTACAAAATAAAAAGCTGACTCTGCATAGATTTAAAGAAACGAGTGAACAGAGAGAAGACAAATCTATGCCTAAATTTTGTTTGTTTGTTGGGTCTTTTTTTTTTTGAGTCCGTGTCTCATTAAGTAGCTAAATTTCCCAGGCTGGGTTCAAACTTGCAATCTCTCTGCCCCAGCCTCACAGAGTACTGGGATTACACATATGCATCATTACACCTGCCATCCCTAGCTCTTTTTTAAAAAAGTTCTTTTTATTGAGATAAAGAGTTTCATTAGCTGGGCATGGTGGCATATGCCTATAATCCCGACACTTGGGAGGCTGAGGCAGGAGGACTGTCTTGAGTTTGCGGTCAGCCTGGGGTACATTGTGATTCCAAAGCTAGCCTGAACAACATAGCAAAACCCTGTCTCAAAAATCAAAAAACAAACAAAACGAAACAACAACAGCAAAGTTTTCATTATATTACCCTGGCTGATCTTAAACTGGTAATGCTTCTCCTCAGCCTCTTGAGTAGCTAGAATTATATACCTGGCTGAAAAGATTTCTTAATAATTTATACAGGTACACTTTGCTGAGGAAGGTAGAGCACAACTCCTCATTCTTTAAATGCAGGCTAGCCGTTACTTTTTCCCCAAAGTAGTATGGGAAGGTGGGGAAAAAATGGTAACGCTACATGGTAAGAGTAGTTCAACAACAGAGCACTGGCCACGCATGTTTGAGGCTCTGGGTTTGATCCCCAGCACCACAATACAGGGGTTAAAAATACACAGGAGAAAGGAAAGGGGTGGGATGGGGAAGAAAGAAACAAAAGAAGGAAGGAAGGAAAGAAAAGAAAGGAAGACACCAGGGATTAGGTCAGCAGCATAAGCTCTTGTCTGGCAAGCACGAGGTCATGAGTTTGATCCCGGGTACCAAAAAAAAAAAAAAAGAAAAGAAAAGAAGAAATAATAACATTACAATAGAGGAAGCTGGAAAACACCTCAAAACAGGTACAAATACCCTTGGCATGCTATATTGAAGGTGAAACTTCACTGTCATCTTCTTTCAAATCTGTAACCTCAGCCAGGCACGGCGACACACACCTGTAATCCTAGCACTGGGAAGGCTGAGGTGGAAGATCACTGTGAGTTCAAGGCCAGAATGGAGTATAAGTGAGTTCAGGGTGAGCCTGAACTACATAGCAAGATCCTGTCTCAAAAAACCAATGCCAAATAAAAAACAAAGACAAAAACAAAATCCGTAACTTCAGTACAGCTCAATGGTACAGACCTCGTCTAGCAGGAACAAGGCCCTAAATACAATGAAAAAAACTATAATCCCAGTTTAACAATCATTCAACTCAAACTAAGGGATGTCTACAAACTCCTTATTTGTCAAGTATTCCTCCAACTATTAATCATAAAAAATATGGAAATTCTGATCATCACAACCCAGAGAAGAAGATATAAGAACTGAATGTAACATAGTATCTTAGATAGAAGGCTGAAAAGTGAAAAGGACACTGGGGGAAAACTAATGACATCTACATAATAGGAAAAACTGAGGACAGGGCAAAAGAGCCAGAATACTGAAGGTACTCAAAGAGCCAACAATCAGAAAGATGAAAAACCCTCTCTGATAATGCAGCCCTCCTCATTCCCACCACTATGTTCCTGCCCATTTGCTACAATACCCACAGATAGGTTTCTTGCCCTCCAGATTACTGAGACAACATGACCAGTTGAGGCCAGGTAGGTCAATCTGGGCTCACAGTCTATGCACCCCACATCTTTGTTTCCTTCCTTGGAAATCTGATTTTCAGAACAAAAGAAGCATCTGGCAAATAAATATTTGTTAATCATCATCCCCTGAGCTACTCCCCTATGCCAAGCCCCTTAATGACAGATGATCTCCCCCACTCTCTGTCCCATAAGCTTTTGGTTTTCTTCAGTGCTAGGGATCAAACCCAGTTAGGCACATTAGGTAAGAACTCTACTATAGCACTACATCTCAGCTCTGGATCTGCCACTCCTTACTATGCTGTTTAACAGTCTCAAAGGTCTCAGGATCTGAAACCTCTTTATCACTCTGACCCTCTCCTCTCTTCCTTGCTTACTCTGCTTTGGCCACTGTGACCACCTCAAATGTTCCAGGCACACTCCATACATCATATGCACCAGAATCCCCAGACTAGGCTCTGCTTAGTATTAGCAGAGTTCAAAGATTAAAGAAATCATGGGCCAGGGCCAGGGATTTAGCTCAGTGGCTTAAGCGCCTGCCTGGCAAGCATGAGGTCATGAGTTCAATCCCTGGTACCAAAAAAAAAAAAAAAAAAGAAACAAGAAACCATGGCCTGGGCCATGGCCCATCTTCTAGAACAAAGATCTTAGGGAGCTGCACATGAGCAAGACTGGCTAGTTGGGTCAGGGTTAGCGTCACCTTCTGTTCCTCCTCCAGGCGTAGCCGTTCCTCCTCCTTCTTCCATTCCGCCTCCCGCTGGGACTCCAGGCGCCTCCGCTCCTCTCTTTCAGCCTCCTCTGCCTGGAAAGAGGCCTTCATCAACCCACACGCTCTACCCGGCTACAGAGTGCCCACCTTCAGGCAGGCCAAGGAAGGCGATGGCTGGGCCATGACCCAGACCAAAGCTGCAGGAGATGGCCAGGTAAGTAGCAAACAAGAGCCCAGTATAAAAGGAGCCCACAGCCAGCGATACAGCTCAGCAGCAAATGCACCTGCCAGGCAATTAGGCCATGAGTTCAATTCAGCATACCAAAAGAAACAAAGAGCTCAAAAGACAGAGGTCTGTGGAGCCCAACTCATCCCAGTCCCAGGGATCACAGAAGTAGAGCCCTTTCCCACATCTCAGAGCAACACCCCATTCCTTCTGCTTGCCTCACGCTGGGCCTTTCGAGCCTGTTTCTCTTCTAGTTTTCGTAGTTTCTTGGCTCCGATTTTCCCTGTCGGATGAGTTTCTGCTGGAGTCTCAGTGCCTTCTTCCTCCTGAGCTAGGTATGGTCAGAGAAAGACATTTAAGTTCCTAGCCAGAAAATATCCACATCACCCTGTCACTCTCCTCACAGGGGAGGCCCTGCCACTCACCTTTGAATGTTACTAGCTCAGTCCTGCCCTCCAAGGGCACCTGTCACATTCACATGTGCCTGTGCATGTGTACGTGCTGGGGGTGGGGATTATGGGCAAGGAGCAGATGAGATTTTAGATACTGAAGAGCTATAGGTGGGCAAAGCCAATATCTGAAGGCCTGAGGATGACAGGTAGGACTGTCAAGACTTACAGAGGTCCCTGGTTTTTGTCTCTTGTGTCAAATCTCTAGGGAAGGATGACTGGTGTGGAAATATTTATCCCAGTCCCAAATCTGAAGTCTTCCTTACTCTACTAAGAAATTGCTGAATGTTCTAGACTCAGCCCCTAAGGTTATCCTGTCCCATGAATGTCTGGCTAAAAGGCAACAAAGGGCAACTAAAAGTTAAAGATCCACTGATACCTAAGCAGATGTGGTATGTGATTTCAGATCTAGGATAGAAGGGATTGTACTACAAATGACCTCTTTTTGAGTCAAAGGGGCTAACCCCAGGGGATCCAGAAAAAAATCCCCAATGTTCCCTGGGAAAGGCTTAGAGGTCCCTCTTCAGGTTTAAGACACCTGTTAGATACTAGAGAAGAAATATTGTTTCTCATAACCCTAAGGGCTCTGTTGGTCTTCTAGCACCAGGGATATGAAGGTCTCTGTGTCAACAGAATGACTCTGTCCCCAAACCCTTTTTGTGGAGTTATAGTGATCCCATTCCAGGAAGGGTGCTAGGATATCAGAGTGCACTGAAGCACTCTCCAGGTCAATCTGAAGATCCTTAGCCTTCTGCTTGGACACCAAAAGCCAAGATGAAGGAAGATGATTTGCCCCAACAGACCAGGAATCAGGCCATAGAACTGCTGGCCTTCATGATCAAGTCCATGCCCTGAGTCTCCATCTATTCTACCTCGTGACTCTTAGCTTCCCTCCAGCAAACTCTGGGGCTCATTCACTCTCTTCAACCTACCCCTCTCCCCCACCATGCTGGGCCCCTTTCACCTGGGATGTCAGTTTCTTCCTCATTCTCATCCACTTCTGCCCAAGTCATGCGCTGGGTTCGACGCTGAGCCTGCAGGCGGCTACCCAGGTCCCTCCTGCGGCGTGGTCTGCCTCCAGCTCTTTGTTCCATCTCCAGAGGTCGTAACTGGCCCACCCGGGACACTACTCCTGGCGCCTCCTCATTGCGCTGTAGCTCTTGACCAGCTTCAGGAAGACAGGAACACAATGCTACCAAGCAGGCAACAGTGTCCCAGAAGCCACGCCCTCGTCTAGTCAACCTCCTTCCAGACCCATGCTACCCACAGCACAAAGCCCTAATTTCACAGTCTGATTCTCAAGGCCTTTACAACCCGGGTTTGCATCTTGATCCAATGCAGCAACCGCACTCCTTCCCTCCTGTGTCAAAATTTTTCTCTCTCCTTAAAGCTCCACCTTTCTAGCTGGCCTGTTGGGAGTCTTCCACCCTGATGTCCCCAGATCCTACTGAATAACCACTGGAGGACGTTTATTTCTTGCTTAACACCATTTGCCATGGTTTTGTATAGCACCCCAAAAGGACAGCACACTTTTTTCAGGCAAGAGCTGGGACTTCTCTCTCTCCCTTCACTTTACCTAAGCACTTCTGTCTTACCCTCGGAACACGAGGGTGCTCATAAATAGCTTGTGGATTGGGGCTGGGGATTTAGCTCAGTGGCATAAGCGCCTGCCTTGTAAGCAGGCAGTCGTGAGTTCGATCCCCGGTACCGATAAAAAAGGAAAAAGACACACACACACACACACAAAAAAAAAATAGCTTGTGGGCCCAGGGACGTGGGACAGACACATACACAAACTCCTATGCTGACAAGAAAGGGAGTGACAGGTGTATGTCCAGTGCCCCGGCCAATCACACGGCTTCCTGGTGCAGAACAGGACGGAGGGGAGGTCTTCGGTGGGAAGAAGGCTTCTGACAGTTTCGCCTCACACTCCCGCCAGTTCAAAGTGGGCAGAAAATACTCAGATGCCTCTGCCCTGGCACCTGGTCTGGGAGGAAAACCCTGTCGCCCCGAGGGGCGCAGTGGCGGACGGCTCAGATAGTGACCTACAGGAGTGCATCTGCAAGGACCCGGCACCTCTGAGTCTCGAGGGCCAAGGGGTAAAGGAAGCGGCAAGGCTAGCCTCATGGCAGAAAAGGTGTAAAGGTGCTGCCACCGGCTTCCAAGTTGAGTTCTGGCACTCAGTTCGGCATCACAACACCAAAAAACAGAGCCGCAGACGCATGCGCATGCGCGCAGCCACCTGACGCATTCCGCAGGAACTCGCTAGACGGGCTGAACGGCGCATGCGCACAAACCGACGCGACGGCCTAGCAAGGGTTAGAAGGCCTGAGAACCGAACCCCATTCGTCCTGGCCCGGCGGGACCTCATACCTTCTGGCGTCCAGCGCCGGGTGCGAGTGAGGAAGAGAATAAGGCCAATAAGCAGAACCGCCGCGGCCACGTAGACCACGAGTGCCAACATCCTAAAGATCTCCCGGCTGAACCACAGCGTCTACCTCACGCCCGTATCACCCAGGCCCCGCCCACTACCCATAGGTCCTGCCCATTTCCCAACTCTAGGCTCCGCCCATCGCCTGGAGCCCAAAAAGGGCCTAATTTTTTTTTTTTTTTTTGCCGGAGGGGAAGGGGGGCCCGCAGTGGGGGAAATAGTGCTCACAATCGAACACAGGATCTTGCGCTTACCAGGCTGTGCCATATTACAGGGACCAAGTGCCTTAATTTTTTATTACAAATTATATGGTGGGTTTTTTTTTTTTAACTGCAATAAATTTGAGTGTGGTGGCACATGCGTATAAACCCAGCACTTGGGAAGCTGGGACTGGAGTGAGTTTGACGCCAACCGGGGATACACAGGGAGTTCAAAAGCTGAACTGCATAGAGAGATCATGTCTCAATCAGTCAATCAATCAGTCAGTAACGCCAATGGCTCAGTGCAGTGGCACGTAATCACAGCACTCAGGAGGGTGTTGGAACAGGATCTTTGGCAGCTGGAGACCAACCTGGACTGCACATTGACTTCAAGAACCTAAACTACGTAGGAAGACTGTTTCACAACAACAAGCAAATGGTGAGGGAAGAAGAGGTTAAAGGGAGAGTAGGAGAATGGGGGGAAAGTTATGTACAGGTACAAATTGTCTGTGGTGAATGTGATCATTATATATATCTAAAACGTACCAATAAAATATTTAAAAGCCCTTGATATTAATTGTAAACTATCTCAGGAGATTGTATATAAAATGGACATTTATGGATAGTTTCTAATCAGCAGGGCTAGGATGTAGCCTAGTGGTAGCATACATGATGCTCTAATTCCATTCCCAGTACTGTGAAAATATAAGTCAATAAACATTAAAAAACACTGTATAATGTTTATAGAAAAAACATTAAAAGATACTTGAAAATGACATGCTTTCAAAATGGAGATTACTTCTAGGGAAGGAACAGGTTGAGATAAAAGAACTGAGGTTTAGCTTTATCTGTGATGTTTAATTTTTTCCAGAACTCAGATTTGAAACAAGAGCTATTTCACACTGAGCTATGTCTCTAACCCTGTTTTCATTTCTTTAGACAAGGTCTGTCCAAGTTGTTGGACAATATGTCCAGGCTGGGCTTGATCCTCTTGTCTCGGCCTTCCAAAATGCTGAGACCATTGATGTGCTCCACAATGCTCTATCTTTTCCTGTTAAAGAAGTCATATGTCCAATCGGAGTGGTGGCATATGCTAGCCATCCCAGCATTAAGGGAGGGTGAGGCAGCAGGATTATCTTTAAATTGAAGCCCTACCTGGGCAATTTAGCAATTTAAACCCTGTCTCAAAATAAAAATAAAAAATAAAATCATTGGGAAGGTAGCTCAGTGCAAAGGTGCTGGTTTCAATCTTCAGTATTCAAAAAAAAAAAAAGGTGGAATGGGAAGGGAAATGCACAGTGGTAGCACATGTGTATAATTCCAACTACTCTGGAGACTGAGGCAAGAGGATTCCAAATTTCAGGGCAGAATGGGCAATTTAGGAAGACCCTGCCTCAAAAACCAAAAAACACCAGGAGTGCAGCATTCTCTCTGAGTTCAATCCCCAGGACTGGGGAGAAAAACAAATCAAAAAGAACACAATAGATGAAATCAAAATACTGAATGTTGGTAGTTATTGGAAGGTGAATGATGGGCAATGGAGGGGCTTGTTACAATGTCTGTTTTTTTGTTTGTTTTTGGTACCAAGGGTCCAACTCATGACCTTGCACTTTCCAGGCAGGCGCTTATGCTGCTGAGTTAAATCCCTGGCTGTTTGTTTGTTTTTGAGGCAGGATCTCCCATATGTAGTTCAGACTGACCTTGAATTCCCTGCGTGGTCCAGGCTGTCCTCTAACTCTCGATCCTCCTGCCTCAGCCTCCCTGAGTCCTAGGATTACAGGCATATACCACCACATTCAGATCAAGGTCCTTTTTAGTAGTTTTGAAATTTTTGTGTAAATTTGAAGTTTTTCATGAGTTTCGTTGAGATGTTAAATCAGTACTTAATTGTGTACATAATTTGCATACACATAGAAAGTTGTCTGGAAAGGCTAAACGACTGTCACTAGACATAACTGCCTTGCTGCTTTTTTTTTTTTGTCTTTTTCATTTTTATTGATACCAGGGATTGAACTCACGACCGCCTGCTTGCAAGGCAGGTGCTTATGCCGCTGAGCTAAATCCCCAGCCCCCTTGCTGCTTTAAATGTATTATTTTTATAGCTTTCATTTGGCATTCTGAGTCCTAAATCCCAAACATGTCACTTACAGTTTGTGGGTGGGTGGGTTGGCAGGAGTGGAAGTTGGCAGGGAGACCACTGAGACAGCTGCTGCCCTGGTTCAGGTAAGAACAGACTAGGAATCTATTTATGACAGCAGCAGTGGAGGTGGAGGGAAAGGGACCAAAGTAGGAACTTTTACAAGCTACCACGGTGATGTGCATATAATTCCAACTCTGAGATGCTGAGGCAGGATCACAAGTTTGAATCCAGCCTGGACCACTAAGAAGCTCAGTGAGACGCTGTCACAAAATAATAAAAAAGGGCTGGAGCTGGGGGGGTGGCACATGCATAATCCTAGTACTTGGGAGGCTGAGCCAGGAGTATCACCCTGAGTTCCAGGCCTGCCTGAGCTACGCAGTGAGTTCAAGGCCAGCCTGAATTATATAGTGAGGCTCTGTCACAAGCAGGGCAGGGCAGGGCAGAAGCCGGATGGTTCGTTTAATCCTGGCCCTTGGGAGACTGAGGCCAGTTTAGACAGCATAATGAGTTCAAGTTCAGCCTGCACTGCGAAGTGCGATCCCTTCTCAGAAAACCAAAACCAAAACCTAAACCCAAAACAAGCCAGTGTAGTACTGGCACAAAAATAAACTCATGTACCAGTGGAACAGAATAGAATATACAGAAACAAAGCCATGCAAGTAAAGCCATCAGATTCTTTTTTTAAATTTTTTTTACTGATACATTTTAGATACACATAATGATAACATTCATCATAGGGAATTTGTACCTGTACATGAGATATCTTGCTTCTTTTTTTTCCCATTTTCCTCTCTTCCCTTAAGCCGTTCCCCTCCAAGCCATTCCCCTTCTTATTTATAAAAGCTTTTTCATTTTTTCCTTATTTTCTTAGTCCTTCCTTTCCTCTTTCATTGCTCCCCTTCTCATTTGAACATTCTTTGCATTTCCCAACATTTATTTTATTTACACTTTCTCACACCAAAGAAACAATATAGTACTTAAACAGATATGTCTGATTCATTTCACTTAATATGATCTCAAGGTGCATCCATTTAACTAGAAATGTCTCAAACTTCTTTTTATGGCAGAGTAGTACTCCACATATTAAAAAACCTACATCTTCTTTATCTGTTCATTGGTTGATGGTCATTTGGACTGTTTCTAAGATCTAGCTATTATAAACTATACTGCTATAAACATAGATGTGCATATATCACTGTGGTGTGAGGCTTTTAATTCTTTCAGGAAGACACCAAGAAAGGGAAAAGCTGGGTCAAATGAAACCTCTAGTTTTAATTTTTTAGGAATCTCCACATTAATTTCCACAGTGGTTGTACTAGTCTGGTTGCATCTTCCCCCAGCTCTGTCAGAATTGGTTATTGTTTGATTTTTTTCATAATAGTCATTCTTTCTGGAGGTGGAATTTCAGCATTGTTTTAATTTGCATCTCTCAAAATGACCAGTCATGTTGAATATTTTGTCATATATTTATTTGCCATTTCTACTTCTTTATCTTTTTTTTTCTCAAAGCACTTAATCTACTTCTTTATCTAAGAAGTGTTTATTCATTTCAGATGCCCAGTTTTGGACTGAGTCTTTAAATGAGGGGTTGAGGGCTGGGATTTAGCTTAGCAACATAAGTGCCTGCCTTGTACGCACGTGGCCATAAGTTTGAGCCCGGTACCCCTCCCCCCAAAAAAACTGAGGGATCTGATTTTTTTAGTTCTTTATTCTAGATAGTAATCCTTTATCTGAGGAACAGCTGACAAAATTTTTTTCCCACAATAGGGGTTGCCTCTTCACTCTGTTGGTGCTTTCTTTTTGTATAAAAGCTTTTCAATAAGATCCCAGTTATTCATTCTTTGTGACAGTTTTATGTGAATAGGATTTGTTGATAAAGTCTTTACTTACATCAATGTCTTCAAGAGTTTTACCTATTCTGTCTTCCAGCAGGTGCAGTGTTTCTGTTTTAAGATTTAGACCTTAGATCCATTTTGATTTTAGTTTAGTGCATGGTGATAGACATGGGTCAAGTTTTAATCTTTGGCATATGGAAAGCTAGTTTTTCCAGTACCATTTATTTATTTATTTATTTATTTTTGGTACCGAGGATCAAACTCATGACTACATGCTTGCAAGGCAGGCGCTTATGCCACTGAGCTAAATCCCTGGGCCTCCAGTACCATTTCTTAAAGAGGCTTTCTTCCAGTGAAAGTATTTGGCCCCTGTGTCAAAGATAAGGTGGTTGAGTGTGTCTGGAGTTGTTTCTGCATCTTTTAATCTGTTTCACTGATCCTCAGTTGTTTGTGTTTTTTTCCCCAGTAATGTGCTATTTTTATCATGGTAGACTTGTAGTACAATTCAAGTCAAGGGTCATGATGGTCCCTGCCTTGCCTTTGTTACCCAGAATTGCTTTTGCTATTCTATGTCTCTTCTGGTTCCAAATGAATTTTAGGGGCCGAGGATATAGCTAAGTGGCATAAGTACCTGCCTGGCACACGCAAGGTCCTGAGTTTGATTCCTGATTAAAAAAAAAAACTGAGATAGAATTCCAATGAATTTTAGGATTGTTTTCTCTAATTCTGCAAGATATGCTATTGGAATTTTGATTAGGATAGCATTGAATTTGAATAGCACATTTGGAAGTATGGTTATTTTTACCATGCTGTTTCTTCTTGCCCAAGAACAAGGGATATCTTTCCAGGTTTTTTTTTGTTTTGTTTTGTTTTTTTTTTTTTTTATCGGTACCGGGGATCGAACTCACGACTGCCTGCTTGCAAGGCAGGTGCTTATGCCGCTGAGCTAAATCCCCAGCCCCTATCTTTCCAGGTTTTTGATAATCTCTTTAATCTCACTTTTCAGAGTATCATAGGGTTGGGATTGTTTGTTTTGTTTTTTATTTTTTTGAGACAGGGTCTCATTATGTAGTGTGACTTGGTCTTGAACTCACTTATGTAGCCCAGGCTTGCCTCAAACTCATGATGATCCTCCTGCCTCAGCCTCCTGCCTCAGCCTCCTGCCTCAGCCTCCTGATTGCTATTGTGTTACCTTTCTCCTTTCCCATCCTTATTCCTCTTGTTTCTTTCTCTTGTCTGATAGCTCTGGCTAACATTTCCAGAACTACATTGAATGCATGGAGATAGGGGATATTATTATCTTGTTCCTGATTTTAAAGTAATAACTTTCAGTTTTTGTCCATTTAGTATCATGTTGGCTGTTGGTTTGTCATACAGAACTTTTATCAGATTGAGGTAAAGAATACATATTCTAGTTTTCTGTAGGGTTTTATCATGAGGAGGTTCTGGGATTTGTCAAAAGCTTTTTCTGCATCTATTCAAAAGATCATGTTTTGTCCTTGGCTCTGTTGATATAGTGTATTACGCTTACTGACTTACATACATTGAACCACCTTTGCATCTCTGGGATGAATCCTACCTGGTCATGGTGTATAATCTTCTTGATTACTTCCTGCCTTGTTTGCCAGTATCATTGAGGATTTTTGCATCTATAGTCACTAGGGAGATTGGCCTGTAGTTCTTTTTTTTTTTTTTTTTTTTTTCTTTTTGCTTTTCATCTGTAACAGGGATCGAACTCACGACTGCCTGCTTGCAAGGCAGGTGCTTTATGCTGCTGAGCTAAATCCTCAGCCCCTTGTAGTTCTCTTTTTTGGATGGATCCTTCTCTGGTCTTGGTATGAGGGTAATGTTTGCTTCCAGAAGTGAATTTGGGCTGGGACTATAGCTCAGTGGCACAGTACTTGTTTGGCAAGCTTGAGATTGTGAGCTCGATTCCTGGTACCAAGAAAAAAAATGAATTTGGGAGTACTGCTTCCCTTTGAATTCCATTAGAGTTTGAGAAGTAATGGCATTATGTCCTCTCCAAGTTTCTCATAGAATTCAGCAGTGAATCTGTCAGGGCCTGGGCTTTTGTTAGTAGGTCCTAGGGGTTTATTTATTTATTTAATTTATTTATGGTTTTTTTTTTTTTTTTGGTCTTTTTCATTTTTATTGGTACCGGGGATCGAACTCACGACCGCCTGCTTGCAAGGCAGGTGCTTATGCCGCTGAGCTAAATCCCCAGCCCCTAATTTATTTATGTTTTGAGACAGGGTCTCACTGTGTAGTTCAGACTGGTGAGCCCACTATGCAGCCAGGCTGGACTTGAACTAATGGTAATCCTCTTGCCTTTGCCCCTGAGTGCTGGTATTATAGGCATGTGCCACCACACCCAGCTTGTTGATAGATTTTTAATTACATCTTTAATTTCACTGACTGATATTGATTTAGAATTTTTATATCTTCTTGATTCAGCTTCAGTAATTCTTATATATCTAGGAATCTGTTTGTTTGTCCTACAGTTTTCATTTTATTAGAATACAGGTTCTTTTTTTTTTTTTTTTTTGGTGCCAGGGGATTGAACTCATGACCTCGCGCTTGCCAGGCAGGCGCTTGTGCCACTGAGCTAATCTCCCCCAGCCCTAGAATACAGGTTCTTAAAGTAGGTATTGATGACCTGGATTTCTACAAGATCTCTTGTGATTTCATCCTTTTCATTCCTAATTGCATGGATTTGAGTCTTTCCTTTTTTTGAGGTTGGTTAAGGGTGTGCCAATTTTATTTATTTATTTATTGTCTTTTTCTTTTTTATCGGTACCAGGGATTGAACTCATGACCGCCTGCTTGCAAGGCAGGTGCTTATGCCGCTGAGCTAAATCCCCAGCCCCGTGCCAATTTTATTTAATCTTTCAAAAAACCAACTCTTGGATTCACTGATTCTTAGTCTCCCTTGCATTAATTTTTGCTGTGATCTTTGTAATTTTCTCCATTTGAGCTTTGAGATTGACTTGCTCTTTTTCTGGAAGCATGCGGTTCAACATTAGGTTGTTTATTTAGCCATCTGATTTTTTTTCCTTTTTTTTTTTTCTGAGACAGGATCTCACTATGCAGTTCAAGCTGGTCTCAAGCTTACTTTGTAACCCAGGCTGGTTTCAAATTTGCAATAATCCTCCTACCTTCTAAGTGTTGGGATTACAGGTGTGAGCCACATGCTCAGCTCAGCCATCTGATTCTTCATAAAGAGGCTAAAACATATATTAAAGATAAGATAACCTCAGGGCTGGGGATTTAGCTCAGCGGCATAAGCACCTGCCTTGCAAGCAGGCGGTCGTGAGTTCAATCCCTGGTACCGATAAAATTGAAAAAGACAAAAAAAAAAAAAAAAGATAAGATAACCTCTTTAATGATGTTAGGGAAATTAGATATCCTTATGTAGAAGACTGAAACTATATTACAGCCAGGGGTGATGATCAAAACTGTAATTCCTGCACTTTGGGAAGTTGATACAGGAGGATTGTGAGTTTGAGCCCAGGCTGGGCAATTTAAGCAAGTTAGTGAGAGGCTAGGTCTGAAAAACATAAAGCAATAATAATAATGGAGGTCTGGAGAATGAAGCTCAGCACAATCTCCTATATCACAAAAACTAAAAAGAAGGAAGGAGGGAAAGAAGGAGGTAAAGGGAAAAAAAGAAAAATCAGCTCAATTGATAAATGAGTACATGAATTATACTGATTCCTCTCAAAGTGCACATGACCAATGAGTATACAAAAAAATGTTCAACAAGCTGGAAATAGTCACTCACACCATTGCCAGTGTAATGCCAGTGTTCTGGGAGGCCGCATAAAAACGAAAAAAGAAACTCATGTATAGCATTATATAGATTAATTGTAGGGCCGGGGATTTAGCTCATTGGCTTAATTGCCTGTCTGGCAAGTGTGAGCTTGAGTTTGATCCCTGGCACCAAAAAACAAAACAAAACAAAACAAAAAAATTGTAATCTTACATTTCAGGGTACCTATAATGTATTAGGTACTGGTATTTAAAGGTGAGATAATGAACAAAAATAGATTTGTTTTTGTGATTTTTTTTTTTTTTTTGTACCAGAAATCAAACTCATAACGTAAGCCTGCCAGTTAGGGTCTGTGCCGCTGAGCTATATCCAGGCAGTACAGATATCATTTTAGTATCACCATTTCTAAATGAGAAAACAGAAGAATTATGCAAATGAATATATATCTGCAGTGAAGATATTGATATTCCTGGGTGATGCCAGTATTATAAAAGCAAATAAATAAAGGAAGTGAGGTGCAATTTTTTTTTTAAAGAGACAGGGTCTCGATGTGCAGTTAAGGCTGGCCTTGAGCTCACTTTGTAGCCCAGGCTGGTCTCGAACTCACAACAATCCTCCTGCCTCAGCCTGAGTGCTGGGCTGGCTTACAGGCAAGAGCCACCACACCCAGCTGAGGTGCATTTTCTTGGGAAGTTGGTGCTTTAGCTGGCTGAGATCCAGGAGATGTTGGTCTTTTGTCTTCTTTTTAAGACTGTTCTTACTGATATTCTCCAGGCCCTCTCTTGCTCCAAAATACCCATGCCTACTCCTCCAAAGACTGCAGAGCGAATGTGTGGTTATCATCTTTGTATCAATAATAGAAAGCAAGCCAAAATACAGTAGTGGCTCTCGCAATTTTTGGAACAGCAGACTGACCTGATGTTTTTGAAGATCACAGACTGCCTTTTCTTGTCTATGGGTGATAGTGGCCATTCAAGTGCTACTTTTCTAGGGTTCCTGGAGGCAGAGCTAAGTCCGTGGAGGAAGGAGAGACATAAGTGGTCGATGAGGGGTCAAAGTTTGTCTTACAGTTGGGGTACACTAAAGGGCATTTTAGTATGCCTTGCTGTGGTTAGCATGCAAAGATCTGACTGCAGCAGTGGCCACTGAAAATGATGGATTGAAAGGCTGGAGAGACTTGAGAATAGAAATTTTGAGTTCCTGAACCTGGGAGAAGGGTAAAAAAAAGACTGGGCTTATTTTAGGTTATGCCAAATTTCAATTCATGGTAAAGTAGAAGGTGGCTGGCAAGGAGGAGCTCAAGAAGGGAGTCTGAAGGTGAGGTCAGGATAAAGATCTAGGCTACACAGACCCTGCCCAGGAGATAGCTCCCTGTGGTAGGCTCGGAGGAGTTAGGGAACTAACTGCCCGGGCACACGGCTGCAGCTTACCACGGGCCTCGCGGGTTTTTCGCTCTCTCGAAATTTGCATTCCGGGGGCTGGGGATTTAGCTCAGCCCGGTACCGATAAAAAGGAAAAAGACCAAAAAAAAAAAAAAAAAAAATTGCATTCCAGAGAGGGACCTAGGCAGATCGAGGCGTGTGGTGGAAATCGTTTCTTCCGGCCCATGACCCGGACATCTCCTGGGACCCCAACTTCAGCCTCGGAAAGCTTCCAAAATTCGGGGACACAAAGCGCTTCAAGCTGCTCATCTGTGCACCCTGGACATCTGAACAAGGATTCCTGGCACACAGCGACGACCGAGAGGCTCTTTACCCACTTGACAATCGGCAGCCACAGCCTGAAGTGGCGGCTCTGGATGCCAGGAAACCGACACGCCCACTTCCGCCCCCAGCCGGAAGTGTTCGGCGACTCCGCGGTGAAGGGGCTTCTGGGGCTCTGAGGGTTAATTCCGGGTCGCCATGGCGGCCTCCTTGGCTGGGAAGAAGATTGTGTTTGTCACAGGGAACGCCAAGAAGCTAGAGGAGGTGTTGTGGGGATGTGTAGGGCCGAGAGGGAGGCGCCTGGGAATATGGCTGAGATGGGGCATTCAGGAGCGGAAGCTCCGAGAACTGGGGGTTCGGCCCGCTGGGAAACACTGGTCAGGACCTTGCTGTGAGGAGGAGACTGGGGTGCTGGGAAGGGACGAGTCGCTGAGCGGGGGTGCCCTGAGGGTCGCTGGGATGAGGATCTCCACAGCTGTGTACCATGTGATTAGGCAAAAAGGTATAATCTAGTGCTGGCAGACAGAGCCAGGCCCATTCCTATTTTGGTCTCTGAAGCATTTCTTCTTTCCTGAAAGGGATATTTTTTAAAGGAATAACGTGATACACTGTTAAGGTACTCCTTTACAAAATGGGATTTATAGGGAAATTAATGCTAATGTATCTTTTACTAAATACATATTTTTAAACATAAAAAATTTAGGGTTTATTAACTACTATCAGACCTCGTAGGTTAGAGAATGTCTTTACGCCCAGCTCCAGGACAGAAAAGCAGAGGGATAGTGAGAGTAATATTTTGGGACTTTATGCGTTGCTTTGGAGCAAAGAAGTTTTAGTTTCTGTGACCTACTTTGGGAAAGAGAAATTTGTGTTTCTTTTTTTTAAATTTATGGTTTTTCAAGTCAGGTTCTTGCTATGTAGTCCAGGCTGGCCTCACAGTTTGCGTTTCTCTGTCTTGAAGAATGGAGAGATGGAGAACGGGAGGTCAGAGAAACACTTTTTCTTCTTTGAGACAAGGTCCCATTATGTAGCCCAGGTCGGGCTTGAACTCATCAAGGTCCTGTCTTTACTCTCCGAGTGCTGGGATTACAGGCATTCTTCGCTATGCCCAGCTAACACTTTACTTTTTAAAGCTTGCCTATGAGGGCCCAAAATCCTGTACTTTGGATATGGTTTTCTGAGTGCCAATGGGATGACACAGGACATCTGTTTAACAGCACCACAGAAAAGATTAAAGGTGGTAATGTATTTCAGGTTTCTGCCTGTAGAGTCCTGGTAGTAAGGTGCCAGGTGACACGGAAATACAATGCTAAGGTACCCCATAGGACCCAGGGATTCAGTCCAGGGACTGGCCTGTCTTCGTAGTTCCCTAATCCCTTTGGAGTCTTTCTGCTTTCCTCCTGGTGTTTTTGTTTTGTTTGTTTGTTTGTTTGTTTTGGTGCTGGTAATAGAACTCAGGACCTTGTGCTTGCTAGGTAGGCACTGTGCCACTGAGCTATTTCCCCAGCCCTTTCCTCTCTGTTAGAAGGGCAGTGGGCCTTCTACCATCCATTAATTCTGATTGACCTTCATTGAATGAAGCGTTTGCCTCCACTTAGCCTGGCCAAGGAAATGGAGTCACATGTGGTGAAGAGATGACATGTACTGCATATATCTTTGGCAGCTCAGTGAGGTATAGTCAAGGAAGCTTCATTTGTCTCTAGTATAGGACTGATACGTTCCTGTGCCAGAACAAAGGTGGCCCTCTCAGGAACCAGAGTCCTGTTGATAAAAGATTTGGATCCTGTGGCTAGAGAAGTCAGGGAGACAGATTGTGCCATTCTGAATGGAGCCCATGCAAAATGGAGCCCAAACCTGTGATGGATGTGGCGTTCTCATATTTAAAGAGCAGGGTGGGGCTGAGGAAAGAGCTCTGTGGTAGAATCCTTGTCTGGGCTGTGCAAAGTCCCAGGTTCAGACTTTAGCACCACCACAAGAAAAACAACCAACAAGTTGAATGGCAAAGGGAGGCTTCTTAGAGACAATGACTTGAAAATGATCTAGAATAGAGAAGTCTTTCTGTCCATATCTTGGTTGCCCATTACAAACTGATGAAACCTGTGGACTCTTCCTTAAGGAAATAGTTTCAAATGTATGAAATAAAATGTGTAGAGATGGTGGCACACACCTGTAGTCCCAGCACTCAGGAGGCTGAGGCAAGAGGATCACTGGCAAGTTCAAGGCCAGCCTGGACTCCATAGTGGGTTGGAGGCCAGCCTAAACTGCATAGTGAGGCTCTGTCTTAAAAAAAAATAAAAGGTTTGGGAAGGTAGCTCAGTGGTAAAGAGCTGCTGGGACTCAACCCCCATTACTGCAAAGAAACAAATTATATAGAGTTACAATGGAAATAAACTATATTGAAAGATGCATCTGTAATCTCAGCTCTCAGGAGGATGAGGCAGGAGGATTGCTGCATGTTCGAGACCAGCCTGAGCTATAAAGTGAGTTCAAGACCAGCCTGAACCACAAAGTGAGACTCGTCTCAAAAAAAGTAAAATAATAAGAATTGGATAGGGGGCTGGAGATTTAGCTCAGTGGCATAAGCGCCTGCCTTGCAAGCAGGCAGTCGTGAGTTCAATCCCCAGTACCGATAAAAAGGAAAAAGACAAAAAAAAAAAAAAGAATTGGATGTAGTGATGCATACCTGTAATCCCGGCAGTCTGGGAGCCTGAGGCAGGATGATTGAGAGTTCAAGGCCAGTTTGTCAAGGCAACTTAACAGTTTAGCTATACCTTTTTTCAGAATTTAAAAATATTCTGGATGTTGATGCATGCATGTTTATGATAATCCCAGCACTGAGGCAGTTGAAATAGAAGGATTCTCGCAAATTGGAGGCCAGACCAGGCTATTCCAACTCAGCCTGAACTATATAGTGGGACTATGTTTTAAAAAAACCAAAATATAAAAATAGCTATGCATGGTGGTACACACCTATAATCCCAGCACTCTTGGGAGGCTGAGTTGGGAGTATTGCTGTGAGTTTGAGGTGAGACTGGACTACATAGTGAATTCAGAAGCAGCGTGAACCGCAAAGTGAGACCTCAAAAAAAACAAAAATTAAAAAAAATAAAAAGGCTCAATGGGAAGTTCCTAGGTTCAATCCCTAATACTGGGAGAAAAAATACTGAGGATTTGCATGTCATTTAAGTGATAAAGCAGCTGCCTAGTATGCATGAGGTGTGAACCGCAAAGTGAGACCTCAAAAAAAAACAAAAATTAAAAAAAATAAAAAGGCTCAATGGGAAGTTCCTAGGTTCAACCCCTAGTACTGGGAGAAAAAATACTGAGGATTTGCATGTCATTTAAGTGATAAAGCAGCTGCCTAGTATGCATGAGGTGTTAGGTGTGATCCCAAGCACTGAAAAAAAAATTGTTTTAGAGCTGGGCATTGTGATACATGCCTATAATCCCAGCACTCGGAAAATTGAGGCAATTGGATCATTATAAATTGGAGACCAGTCTGGGCTACAAGGCCAGCCTGAATTACATAGGCAGACTCTGTCTCAAAAAGAAAAAAAAAATTATATATAATTTTAGAATTGTAAATTTATTTGGATTGTAAATTTTTTCTTACTCCCTTGTAAATATTTTGAGACCTAGGTAGTGGTTATAATGGAGCATGACAGCATCTGTGATTTTAATGTTTTGAAAGTCATATGAGCCAGGTGTGGTGGCAGATGTGTAATCCCAGAATTTGGGAGGCTAAGGAGTGTCACCAAGAGTTTGAAGCTAGCCTCAGTTAGTATATAGTGAACTCAAGGCCAGTATAGACTATTTTGTGAGACTGTCTCAAAAAACAAAAGCAGGCAGAGTGTGAGGGCACATGCCAGTAATCTTGGATTCAGGAGATTGAGGAAGGAGCATCACCATGAGTTCCAAGACCAGCCTATACTACATAGTCTCAAAAAAACAAAAAGACACAGGAACTTCCAATTTTATTTATTTATTATCTGTATTTGTAACTGACAAGAGGATAAATTTTAATCAGAAGTCATAAAAAACAAAGCACTTTTTTCCCATCCAGGTTCACAGGCCTCCTGAATTCCGGGCATCTCCTGATAGGGCATTCCTGCCCGAGGAGGAATGTAGAACACAGACCGGTAGAGGGTGGCTGGATAGGGTAAGCAGAGGAGAAGCACAAGCAGAGACCTGACGTAGGAGGGAAGCAGAGGAATAGGAGATAGGTGCTACCTGGCTAGAATGGGACCCTAAGGCTGGGGTAAAGCTCATGAACCTGATTTCCTGCGCACTTGCTTGTTTTGTTTCTCTCTTTTTGAGACAGGTTTTGCTGTGTAGTTCAGGTGGGCCTTGAACTCTCAATGATCCTCCTGCCTCAGCCTCCCAAGTGTTGGGATTATAGGTGTGCTCCACAATGCCCAGTTTGATTTGGTATGCTTTAAGGGACTGGCCAGAGAGTTCGCTCATTAGAAAGGTGGATGGCAGTCCACACAGTAATAGAGAATTACTACCACCTGGTAATCAGTGTTCTTTCATTTTGAAACAGGTCATTCAGATTCTGGGAGATAAGTTTCCATGCACGTTGGTGGCACAGAAAATTGACCGTATGTCTCTGTTTTGCCTTATTTTTAAAAGACTGTTTCATTTTTCTACCCTCTCATAACCTGACTCTGTTTCTGTTTTCCTGGTAAGTGCCGGAGTACCAGGGAGAGCCAGATGAAATTTCCATCCAGAAGTGTCGGGAGGCTGCATGCCAGGTGCTTATTCCCCTCCAGTTTGTAGTTATACAATTGGTTTTCTTTCCTGTGCTGCTGGGAATAGAAGAGAACAATAGAAGTGTGGTTTGCTGTTACTTTAAGGACCTCTCCAGGCCAACTTAGGCTAGGTTCAGTTAATGTTGGCCTTGAGAACTGCCTTTCTGTCCCCACCTTGACTGTGACTCCCCCATTCCCCCTCATGCATGGATTCTCTCTGTCCACCCACAGGCTCCCAGCCTAAGGGTATAAGTCCCCATGTACATTTTCCCTCTACCCCTGCACTCACACATCAATGTGACTTGAGCACAGTGTGAAGGTCAGAATGTTGGGGTGTGGGTCCCAACACCTCCATTGGTACATCTGGAACAACCTGCATGCCTGCCAGTGCTGTGTGTCCTGTCTCTAAAATGAAGATAAATATCTAGAGAGGGCTGGGCCTGTGGCCATGATGGTCCTTTGTCTGCTGCAGATCTCATTAGCTGTGGAAATGGTCCTAGCCTAGGTGGCCCACACAGGGATGGAGCCTACTCATCGGTGCAGATCTTAGGCCCGTGTGTCCTTGTGCTGCAGGTGCAGGGACCCGTTCTGGTGGAGGATACCTGTCTGTGCTTCAATGCCCTTGGTGGCCTTCCTGGCCCCTACATGTGAGTGTCCCCATGAACTCCTTTGTAGGACTTTAGACACAAACCACTGGAATGCAAAATGGTTAACTAATACTGTGGATTATTCACTGACTTAGCATCAATGTCAGTATTTCAGTTGTCCCAGAAAAGGATTAGGGATACAGGAGAGGTGTGTCTTTCTTTTGTAAAGTGTGAGAATGTGATTGTGTAAGTGGAGAGGGGAGAGGGGATCCTACTCAATTTCGGAGGCACATTAAGGGGGCAGATCAGTTTCAGGAAAGAATAAGAAAGTTAAGATCTGAAAACTGATTTCCTTAAAATTATCCAATACCCTGGATCCCCCTTAGAAAGTCTTTTGTCTATTTCTAGAATACAAGTAACCCAATTTGAAGTCCCCTGAATAGGGGCATATGTACAGAAGCGCCATTGCTGGTTTCTCTAACTCTTGGATGATTAGTTTATTTACCTATATAGCTACAGTATACATTGTTTCACATCCTTTCCAGCACCGAATATATTACAAGTTATTAAATTTGCAATTTGAAGCTAGGTGTGGTGGTGCACACCTGTATTCTCAGCACTCAGGAGGCTGAGGCAGGAAGATCACTGTAAGTTGGAGGCTATCCTGGGCTACAAAGCAAGTTCAAGGCCAGCCTGAATTGCATAGCAAAACCCTGTCTCCAAAGACACACACACACACACACACACACACACACACACACACACACCCCTGTAGTCTCAGTGTTTAGCAGAGGCAGGAAGATTGCTGCAAGTCGAGGCTATCCTGGGCTACATAGTTAAGGGCCAGCCTGAACTACATAGTTGCAATTTGTAGTATATGGTGTTATCGCATATAGTTTGATTTTGCATTTCTCTAGTTATCAAATGAGGTTGAAGCCTTACTTGTGTCTGACTTTTTTGCATGTTTGTCTCCATTTGCTTTTTCCCATTAGATGATTTTTTTTCTCTGTGTCTTTGGTGTTAGACATTGAACCCAGGGCCTTACACATGATGTTATGTACATGCTCTACGCCAACACCCCCAGCCTAGATTATTTCTTTTTTTTTTTTTTTTTTTTCTTTTAGCCTAGATTATTTCTGATGGTTTTGATTTAAGACATTCCTTCTCATTTCCTCTTGGCTGTCCTGGATTTTTGATCTCGCAGGAAAATTCTGTGCAAGACATCTGAGTTTCCTTTATTACTTTTACAGAAAATGGTTCCTGGAGAAGTTAAAGCCTGAAGGTAAGATTCCCATTTTTTCTTCTCTTGAGATTTGTTGGGAATTGAGGCTCCCCAGGCAACCTTCCGAGTGACCAGGAGGGCTGAGGTCCTAGCTACCACCATTGAGGCTCCAATCTGTAACTTCACCTTATACCTTGCCTGTGCACCAGAGAGCATTGAGATGAACTGACAGATGTGAGTTCAAGGGATCAGGCAACTGTAGTTGATCCTGGGTCTCAAGGAGGACTTGCCCTAGTGACTGCCTGCAGTTTCTTCAAACAGGGCTTGCGCTGTGGATTGGAGGAGGGGACTGCCCCTCCTACAACCCAGTAATTTGTTCCCCAACACCCACAGATGCAGACCACACTGTTTCCTCTTAGGAACTATTTGGAGGTTCTAGCAGGAGAGCGCAGCTACTACCGAATCCCAGACCAAAGCATGGTCCTCTGTGGGGAAAGGTGTGCTCCTCAACCAAGGGTAGAACTTCAGGAAGGACACGTAGAGCAGCCAGAGTGACTGGACCAACTCTGGCAACCAGTGGAGTGACAATGTTGCAACCAGATTGCACTCACATCCAGAATGTTCCTCTAACAGTGGTTTAAGAAATATAGAATAAGCCAGGCATGGTGGCACACTCCTGTAATCCCAGCACTTGGGAAACTGAGGCAGGAGGATCATTGGAAGTCTAAGACCAGCCTGGGCTACAGAGTGAGCTCAGTGCCAGCCTGAACTGCATAGTGAGACCCTGTCTCAAGAAGACAAAAAAGGGGATTTAGCTCAGTGGCATAAGCGCCTGCTTGGCAAGTTGGAGGTCATGAGTTCAACTCCCAGTACAAAAAAAAAAAAGTAGAGTATGTCAAATATGGAAAGTAATAGAAAAAGTAGAGTAATAATCTCAAGCGTGGTGCTGCACACTTATGATCCCAGCATTCTGCCAGGCTGAGGCAGGAAGACTGCAAGTTCAAGCCCCGTCTGGGCTACTTGGTGATTGAGCATGACCATGGCTCAAAATAAAAAAGTAAAAAAAGTCTGGGGTGTAGCTCAGTGTGGAGGTCCTGGGTTCAATCCCAAATACCACAAAAATAAAAAACTCCAACCACTCCACCCCATAAATATATATAATTACTTGTCAGTTTTTAAAAAACAATAATGACCCACCCCTGCCTTCACCATTCAGCTTATCAGTGTGAGTTCTATTTTAGATAAAGATACACGGGTATGATTGGTAATATACAGAATTTTAGTTGGTTTAGGTGCTGCTGGGGATTCAGTCCAGGGCCTTGTGCATGCTGAGCATACACTCTGCCACCACCCACACCTCCGGTTCATTTCTTTTTTTTTTTTTTTTTTTTTGTCTATTTCATTTTGTCTTTTTCATTTTTATCGGTACCAAGGATCGAACTCATGACCGCCTGCTTGCAAGGCAGGTGCTTATGCCACTGAGCTAAATCTCCAGCCCCTCCAGTTCATTTTTTAGTGCTACATAACTAGCTTGAGAGTTCCTTGGTTGTAACCAAAATACTGTTTTATAATTGTTTGACTTTTCATTAGGAATCAAATAAATCCACACAATATTGGTTGGCTTTATGATTTAACAAAACCTCAGGGCCAGGAATATAACTCAGTAGCAAAGTACCTGCCTAGTAAGTGTGACATTGTAAGTTTGATTCCCAGTACCCAAAAGAAAAGAAACCAAACCCCAGGGCTGGGGATTTAGCTCAGGTGGTGTAAGTGCCTGCCTGGCAAGCGCGAGGTCATGAGTTTGATCCCTGGTACCAAAAAAGAGAAAGCAAGAAAAAGAAATTAGTAAGAAAAGAAACCTTCTACTCAGAGCCTGGAATTTTATCCTCCTATTGGGGGCTTGACTGAAGCCCTAAGTAGCCCCTCTTCCATCCCCATTAGTCTGACTTGGGGTGCCTTTCCCACCCGGGTAGGTTTTCAAGGGGAGAGTGCTGGGCAACACCGATTCACTGAGCCCTCGCCTTTCCCGCCCACAGGGCTGCACCAACTCCTGGCCGGCTTCGAGGACAAGTCAGCTTATGCCCTCTGCACGTTCGCGTTCAGCACAGGGGATCCCGGCGAGCCTGTGCACCTGTTTCGGGGCCGCACCTCAGTGAGTGGCAGCTCAGGTGCTGTTCTTCTGCGTGCCGCCAGAGGTCGCTATGACTTGGGCAAAGCCCCGAGGACCTCTGCAGGGCTGTCTAGGTCTGGGATACCCAGACCAGAGTTGTTATCATGGCCATGCTGTGAGATACCCATGAGCTCTGTAATGAGAGGTATTGTCAGTCCCTAAATCTGTTTGACCCTGAAGCTGCTGGCTAGCAGCCCTGGGACTGTTGCATCTAGAACTTTGTCCTTAGGTACTAAGTCTGAAGGTTACCATTCCCAAAGTTGGTGGCACAACACCTGTAAGCGCAGCCCTTTGGAGGCTGAGGTAGGAAGAAGGGGTTCAAGGATAACCTGGGCTACACAATGTGAGGCCAACCTGGGCTACAGAGTAAGACCCTGCCTGAAAAAGCAAGACAGCCCAAAGCCTCAGTCCACTCAGATTTCCTATCCATCTGCCAAAGCACAGCTTTCCCTTCCCTTTTCATGTTTTTAAATATAATTTAAATTTAGTTTTCTTATTGTTACTACTTTTTGGTGATGGTGCTAGGGATCAAGCTACAGCCTTGAACATGCTAAGCAAGAGCTATACCTGCAACCTGATGTTTTAATCCCTCACCAACCCATTTTCCTTCCCCAGTTGCTGTTCAGCACAGCCTGCCAGGCCCTTTGAGTTGGCTGCTTTTCTCTGGATCCAGGTCACTCTCCCAGCTGCTCAGCTTCTGGCTTGTCCACGCTCAGTTTCTCCTGCCAGAATCAAATCCAGGGTTCCCCTGGGGGGCTGCCCACAGATACTTTTTTTTTTTGTCTTTTTCGTTTTTATAGGTACCAGGGATCGAACTCACGACTGCCTGCTTGCAAGGCAGGCGCTTACGTCGCTGAGCTAAATCCCCAGCCCCACACAGATACTTAATTTTACTTTGCTTGGTTAAGTTGTTTTTTGTTTTGGGTGGTGGTACAAAACTTATAGCACAGAATTTATGACCATCTTCACCGTGTTTACATGTGCACACAGTGGTATTAAGAATATTCACAGACTACAAGACTATAAGATATGCACAGACTGTATTTTGTTGATTATTATCTGACAGTGACCTTTACGTTATGAATAATGCACAACCACAGTCAAGACTTTTTCAGAGTTTGAGGACCAATAAATACTCGGGAACACGATTGCCAGGTCACGGTTGCCTGGTTAAGTTGTTAAACATTGGTTGTAGTTGTCTTCTGCTCTCCCAGAAATGTCCACGTAGATGTTAGCCTGTTCCCTGCAGGGCAACTGAGTACTAGCCTCCTTGTGACAGTGCCTGTGTCACTATGCCCCCAGCCATGCCCTGTTGCTCCTGCTGTGGTGATTGCCCTGGTTGTGTGCATCCCCCATCCCTCCTGAGATAACCTCATTTATTCATCTTGTCCTGTTTTCACATTCATTGTCCACGTTGACACACTGGACACTAACTGTCCATACAAGCATATTCACATTTCCTTTTGGCAGCTCACACAGGCCACATCCCGCCTATTTCAGAATCTTTGAACTGGCTGTGTCTGATGCCTGGAATGTTCTTGCTTCAGCCCTATATGTGGCCAGATTTACTGGACTCCCAGACTAAGTCAACCCTGAGGCGTTCATCCTGCTGTACCTGAGTGTAGCTCTCCTCCCAGGCATTTTGTGTTTAGCAGTCATTAATTTGTTTACAGAGTCATGTCTGCTAGGCTCTGATGGCCATTGAAGGAGGGGAATGGGTTTGGTGGGACTCTAGGGCTGAGAACACTGCCTGGGCCACTGCAGTCAGAAGACATTTGTCACATGGGTAAGGCTCAGAGTACTTCAGTGACTGGCTGTGCACATGGCTCCGTTAGCAGAATCAGAATCTGCTTTTGGCTCTGCATGACTTGGCATTTATGTAGCTAATCTCCATTGTCCAGCATCACACTGGAGAGTTTTTGTTGTTTGTTTTCTTGAGACAGGGTCACAGCTCTATTTCACTATGAACTCACTTGAACTCACTATGTAGCCCGAGGCTGCCTTTAAACCCATGGTGATCTTCCTGCCTCAGCCTCCTGAGTGCTGGTCTCAGTGATGTGTCACCACACCTGGCTCTTAAAATTTTTTTTTCTTTCTGTTTATCTAGCGCATGCTAGGATTTAAGCCCAGGGCTTGCACTTGTTAGACTAGCACTGCTATGCTGAGTTATACCAGCAAACCCTGTGTGTATGTGTATTTATTTGTTTTTGAAACAGGGTCTCAGCCTCTCAGTGATCCACCTGCCTCAGGCTGCTGAGTGCTAAGATTACAGGCCTGCAACACCATGCCTGACTTCATTTTCCTTGAATGAGGTCACAATTTATCAAAAGTGTAGAGAGGAAAGGTGGCCCCAGAGGTGTTAGTGGACCATCAAGTTTGTGGTTCCTCCCTGGGTGTTAATTTTTTTTCCCATACTGGGGGTTGAATCTAGGGCCTGCACCCTGAGCTACATCCCCAGCCCTTTTTAATTTTTCAATTTTGAGACAGGTTCTCACTAAGTTGTTAAATTACCCAGGCTGCATTTAGACTTGTGATTCTCCTGCCTCAGTGTCCTAAAGTGCTAGCAGTATAGACATGTGCAACCATGCCCTACCCTGCTCTGCATTTCATGTGTGTGTTTAGCAAATATCTGTAAGCACTGTGTACCCCTGAACTATCAGGTTTAATTAATCTCACAAACTAGCTGAACTCAAACCACCCGCCTAATGCCCAGTTCCACACCTATCCCCTTTCCTGTGGCAGGGCCAGATTGTAGCCCCCCGAGGCTGCCGGGACTTTGGCTGGGACCCCTGCTTTCAGCCCGACGGATACGAGCAGACGTAAGAAGCTCCAATTTCTTCCCTGCAGCATGGGTTGGGTGGGCGCCCTGCCCCAGTACAGGCACGCGGATGTGGGCAGGGCAGGCCCTGAGGGTGTGTTCCAGCTGAGGGCAGCTCTGCTGGGTGGACACAAGGAATCTGGGTGGCCCCATCCATGGCAGGCAGAGCTGGGCATCCTGGGCTGGGGCTGCAGGTCGCTCCAGAGCAGCCATGCGAGCAGTGGCTTGCCCTCTCTGGCCTTGGCTTATCAATGTGTAGAAGCCAAATAATTTTGTAGGATTATTTTCTGATCCTTTTTTTTTTTTTTCCCCTTTTTTTGTTTGACCAGGAATCAAACTCACAACCACATGCTTGCCAAGCAGGCACTTTACCACTGAGCTGTATGCCTGACCCCCACTCTGACTCATTTTTTTCTACATTGGCAAAATGTTCACACTTTAGTGGCCTCTAGTAGGGACTTTAAATTCCATAGTACCAGGCATTCTCAGGATTTCATGCTAAACCGCTCTGCTTATGGGAATCAGGCTTCCTTGGCTGGAGAGGCCTTAGGAGCCATAGTCCAGGGCCTCACCGAGGCCATACAGGGCAGAGGACATTATGAAACAGCACTGTTCAGGAATAATGTCTGGTGACACTTAGAAATGTTCTCAGGCCTGGGATTTAGCTCCGTGGTACAGCACCTTCCTGGCAAGCGTGAGGTCCTGAGTTCAACTCCCAGTACCAAAAAAGTTTTCTTCCCACACTGTCTGGTGGCTTGCCACTAGCCATGTGGGTAGACCACCCCAAACGGAGCTGGCTGAGCAAGTCCATTGTTTGGTTGTGATGAACTTACATACTATGTGGCCAGTGGCTATTGGATGGTGAGGGTCTGAAGCCCCAGGTGGGAGTGGACGCTCACCTCCCTGGAGTCCTGGCGTGGAGGATGGGCCCTTGGCCAGCTGCCATGTCCCTCTACCCACAAACACCCAGGGCATTAAAAGAGGCTGCAGTGTGTGCAGTCAGGCCCTGGTGCTTCCTGTCAACAGATGACAAAGCTGAGCAAACATATGGTTCGTCCCTGTGCCCAGCTTCGCTTAACTTCTCACTCAGTGGAACAGATTTATGATCCCTGCTTATTCATAGTTTGCTAGCTAAAGAATTTTAAATAGTCAAAAATTTTGAAAAGTTAACTAGTTGGCCAGAGCCAGTGGTCCCTGAGAGGCCCTTGAGCTTTAGCTGTGGAGCTGAGCTGGGCTGGCTGGACTGGGGTGCACATCATCCTGGGATCTGAGCTTCCTGTTCTGAGATGCTCTTGCTGTGACTCCCCAGGTATGCTGAGATGCCCAAGGCCGAGAAGAATGCCATCTCCCACCGCTTCCGGGCCCTGCTGGAGCTGCAGCAGTACTTTGGCAGCTTGACTCCTGGGGGTGTAGGCACCTCTGGCTGGGGATCTGGGGAGAGCTAGCCAGGGACTCCCACTTCAGGCAGGAACCCCAGGGCCTCCAGGCATTCAGTGGGGATGTGGAGGCAGCTTTGCTACAGTCTGGAAGGGCTGTGGCTCTGTTCACAGACGTCCTGAGGAGGTTAAAGCCAGTCTTGTCCCCAGGGGTTACGCTCATAGCCTCCAGGTTAGGATCCTGAGAGGACCTTGGTGAAAAAAATGAGCCTTGGCAGGATTGAAGGCTTGGGGAAGAACTGGGTAAACAGCCTTGATGTTTTTAAAATGCAGCAAGTAAAATTTCCGGAAGGAACTGGTTTCCAAAATAAACTGGATATATTTGCTTTGAACCCTGCCTCAGGCTGATGCCTGTCCCCTTTGACAGGTGCAGAAAGCCTTTGGGTGGGGGCATCAGGACAAGGGCAGGGCTGTGTCAAGGGTGCCCACCTGTCCTTACTAGCTTCTCTGCTCTGATTTCTTCTCCAAGTCCTGGGTTGAGGCTGTGCTGTGCCACCCCACCCCACCCCCACTGGAGTAGAATTACACCATTTCCCTGCCCTGTATCAGTGCACAGGCCTTACGGCGCTTTCATGGTGGTACCATGGTGGTACCAGTCCGTAAGGGAAAAGTGGCTCCTCTTTTTTTTTCTTATAGCTTTTATCTGGTTACAGAGTTTTGTTTTGTTTTGTTTTAGTTGTAAAATCTAACAAATACGTAACATTCATTGGCAGAGTGATTGTCATTGTGTTTTGCAGCCTTAGGATCAAACCCAGGGCCTTGTGTGCACCCTTAGTCAAGTGCAGAAGCACTGAGCCACACCCCAGCCCTGCCAGTGAGTTCCAGCATCTTGCCTTTCCTGTTAATTTTTTGGTTCTCTTCCATTTAAACCATCCTCTCTTCCATTTAAACCGCTGCCTCTACAGCTGGCCTTCCTTTGCATATTTTAGGTATAAGTTCCTTTGCTGTTTCAGTGCAGTGAATCTCTTCCTCTGCTGCTTTAACCCAAAATATCTCAGTCCATGGGGCATTTGTCCACCCAGACTGAGCTTGGTGTTCCCATCTGCCATCTCCGCTGATTCTGGAAGTGCAGAGGAGCACACTGGCTCCACATCCATATTTCTGCTCTGGCTCCCAGTTCACAGGCAAGTCCCCACATGCTGGAATCTGCCGTTCTCCCTCCTTTTGTCCAGCCCCACCATGTCACTGCCCTGTGCAGAGTACCCACACCCTGCCCCCCCCCCCCAATAGCACCTCACTGTCCCTCCCTTCCCACTGTCTGCAAAACCCCCCTGCAGACGCTGCACAGTAGGATAGCACAAAGGCCTCCCTCCTGGACTATCCATATTCCACTGTTGGACCAATGTCCACTGTACAGGGTTATGTTTTGTAGGGTTCACTGTGCAGGGTGCAACAACTACCCACAGGTGCCACTCAACACACATTAATCCCTCTCTCTTTTTTTTTTTTTTTTTTTGTCTTTCTCCTTTTTATCGGTACCGGGGATCGAACTCACGACTGCCTGCTTGCAAGGCTGGCGCTTATGCCACTGAGCTAAATCCCCAGCTCCACATTAATCCCTCTCATTCCACTCTCCCTGGGGTGGGGTGACACATGGTGAAGGATACAAACAGGAGCTTTATTCGCTGATGTGCCACAGTGCGTTCCTTACACAATCAAGGAAATGGCTTCCCTCCTGGCATTGACTCTTTTATCAAAAGAAAACCCACTCTGCTTAGTCCCCACCCTGGACAGAAACTGCCCTGAGCAGCATTCCTGACCCAAGGCTGAAGGCTAATGGGCAGAGCAGGGAGCACACAGCATGGAACCCCCACAATGCCCAGTTGCTGGGACCTGTGAGCTGCCCATGAGGACACAGCCTGCTGCGAGAGCCCAGACAGCCACACCTCCCTGAGGGCGGTGAAGGTGTGGCCAGAGCCCACCAGTCAGGACCAGTGCTCCACATCCATGGCATCCAGGTACTTGGCTGCGATGATTCGGGGCAGCAGGATGTACCTGGGCACAGGGGGAGACAGGAAGTGAACCATGAGTGGTCAGAGAGAAGGCAGCAGGTCCAACCAGCCACCGCCCTAGCCCTGGGCTGCACCTCCTGCCCCTGCCTGGTGTACCTGATGGGGATGAGGAGGATCATGATGAGAGGAAAGACCATCTTCATGTAGGGCAGGGTGCTCATGCCAAAGGTGCACAGCAGCAGCAGCTGCATGCCCTGCAGGCAGGTGAAGTAGTGGATCTTTCTCTGGGGCACCCTCCGGATGTAGTGTGTGGGTGGGTATGATGTCTGCAACAGGCAAGTGGCAGTGACTAGGTAGGTGTGGACAGGGACAGTCATGTGCCTTGTCTCGCCAACCTCCCTGGGCCAGGCACCCACCTGCTCTTTGAGCAGCAGAGCCACACGAGAGAAGAGCTGGTTACCATCCAGGGAGGTGAGCGCGATGTAGAGGAAGAGGCCGTAGAGCACGGGCTTGGGGATCCACTGCAGCGGGAAAGGCAGCAGCAGCAAGGACAGCCCCACCAGCACACTGGCGCCCAGCGAGGTCAGCCGTGTCTCCCAGACATTCACAATCCTGCAGGCCCAAGAGTAGGAGACCACATGGGGTCCCAAGGCTGCATCACTATGTCACAGACAGCCCAGGCCAATGCTGGGTCCTCATGGCTTAGCCCCAGATCCCTAGTCACTGTCACACTCACGTCTCATAAATGTGCCCGTTTTCTACTCGCTCCTCCACTAAAGCCAGGGCCCGCACATGCAGCGGGGAATGGGGGTAGGCAGCGTGGATCCAGGGCAGCCCAAACAGGGACAGGAGCGTGTTGATGATGGCAAGAAGCAGGAGGTCCCAGTGGTAGGCAGTGCCTTTCACCAGCCTGCAGCAGAGGGCACACGTGGACAAAGCCCCACTGGCCTGCAGAGCATGGGGTGCTTGCTCGGCCTGCCCTCCTGTCTCTGTACCTGTTCTCTGGTGCATTGACCAAGGCAGCCACGAGGTTCTGCTCGATGAAAAAGAGCAGGGAGAGGAGGAAGCCAAGGACCATGGCACTGCCGATGGCCTCCAGAGACAGCGAGCTGATCTGTGCCACTTCAAACAGATTGCCGCTGGGGTTGTAACGAAACCTGCTCACTGCAGTGGGGACAAACTTCTGCTCAGGCAGCAGCCTCCAGGGAGCAAGTGCAGGCGGCCCCCACCAAACCGTGGGTCCCCACTCACTCTCAATTTCCTGGAAGCCATAGGAGCTGAGAAGGGAGAAGGTGAGCACCGCGATGGGCAGGGCACAGTCAGACAGGATCTCGCGCACGTATGGGTGCAGGTAGGGGCTGTGGATGGCGGGCAAGGTAAGTGTGGCTGAGAGCTGTGCTGCCCCTCCTTCTGCTCTGCCTGGGGCCCCTCACCTCTTCTTGAACTGGTAAAGGGTGTAGCCGAGCCAGAGCGTGCCCAGCATGATGAGGAGGCTGAGCACTGCAGTCGCCCTGCCGGAGTGCACAGCGCCCAGGCCACTCAAAGCATCCAGCTCAGTGGGGCTGGCCAGGAGGCTGGAGTTGAGGGCGGCCTGGAAGCTGGAGTTGAGGGCAGTGCCTGTGCCTAGTGGGCTCACCAGGAGTGACATTCTCTTGTTGTGCTGGTGGCCGTAGTAGTACTTCCAGAAGACTGTGGAGTAGATCAACAGGCCTCAGCCTTCTCAGCTCTGAGGTCAGGGCTCAGCATCCTCCTGAATGCTGGGTAGGGGTCCAGGGAGGGGAAGGAGAGAAGCCCTGAGGGGTTAAAGGGCTTCTGGGTTTGGGGGAGGAAGTAGGGAAAACGGGCCTTGTCTGTTAGGACCTCAAGGACCTGCCCATCCACCCACTGTCCCCATGGCCCCACTACTGTCCTTGTTCCAGCCATGAAACCACATCACACCTAGCTCAGCGCCTCTACCCCCATCTCTGACCCTGCCTGGACAGCCCCATCAGCTTCTAGAGCTTGAGCCCTGCCCAACCCAAAGTCCCTGTCCCAGCTCAGCCAGTGGTTGGCAGCTCTGCACTCACTTTTGACCATGCCCTTGACGGCATCTACCACGAACGTGATGGAAATGAACAGGGCAATAATTTCTTCCGTTGACCTGCCGGGGGCAACACTGGTGTGAGCTGGGTGTGTCGTTGGAGGCCATGTTCCCTGAGCCTCTGCCTGCCCCCCCCCCCCCCCCCCGCGAAAAGGACCAGGGCCCAGGCTGGCCCAGCCCAGCCTCTTGGTGCAGGGGTATAATGGGGACATCTCATCCTCCTCAGGGTTCCAGCTTCTCAGAGGCTGGCATGCAGCTAACCAGGCCATGGTCGCGGGTCCCCAGACCTAGAAAAGAATAGTCACCTTTTGAAAAGACTCATGACCAGACTGAGGTTGAAGAAGGCATAGAGTGCGAGGAAGAAGCTGTTCCACAGGCCTGTCCACGCATAGAAGGCACTGAAGTCCAGGTTGTAGTCATCACAGATGACCCGGATCACTGTGGGCAGGATGTGGGGTCAGGTCCCAGGGGGGACCTTGGGCCTCAGGCACCATCTCCCACCACAACCCCCACTGCACCCTGGGTGTAGATGGCCAGGGGCGCAGTCGTCAGCAGAATCACCAGTGGCTGCCCAGAGAAGATTGCATACAGGAAGCCGCCGATACTCTGGCCGACTATGGTCTTCTGCACATCTGCGGAGGTGGGAGGTCAGCTGGGCACAGCCAGTACCTTGGCCCTGCCCAGCACATCCCTGCCAGGCTCTAGCCCTCACCAATGGCTCCATTTGTGTTCTCATCGTTCAGAGACCCAAATGCAATTGTGGGCAGCAGGCAGGCAAAGTAGAGAAACAGGGTGGTGGTGATGTATTTGCCCACAGCCTTGCTTTTCCCGACAATGCCTAGGAGAGGGGGTGGGGCAAAAGGGTTGTTGGGGAGGTGAGATGGACACGCATGTGGTCCTGAGGCCTGAACGGCTAAGCTGGGTGGGCAGTGGGGATGTACCATCAGTGAAGTCCTGCAAGTAGACGGAAAACCTGCGCGAGATGTCTTCCCTGATGCCCCTCCCAAAAGGGAAGAAGTCTTTGCACTTCGGGGGCTAGGAGAGAAGATAGCTTGTCAGTCCTGGCCGCCTAGGCCCCCCACTGCCCATGCCCAGCTCTGCTCTGTACCTGTAGGTGTCTGTGCGCATGGAAGGAGCCTCTGCCTTGTCCGTTTGCTCTTGGTATCGCCATGGTGAGCAGCTGTTTCTGCTGCATCAGTGCCTCCTTGAATTCTTCCTCCGTGCGGGTCTTCAGGAGCTTCTGGCGGAAGGTGATGTCTGAAAACATGGTGGCAAATGTGCGGGCCACCTCCATAGCAGTCTTGGTGCTTTTCTGGACACAAAAGATGGGGGAGAATACATCTGAAGTTGGACACAGCACACTGCCCTTGAGGAGCATAGCATCCTCCAGCAGGTGGCAGAGGCTCCTTGAGAGCTGGCAGTGTTCCCCAAAGTCCAGGCACTGGGACACTTGGGCCACCATTTCACTAGATTACTATGACAACTGTCACTGTAATGCTTTCCTTTTAAGACAAGCTGCTGTGTAGGGCAAGCGAGCTCACTATACTGTAGCCCAGGCTGTCAGACTCACAGTGAGCCTCCTGCCTCAGACACCTGAGAGCTGGATTACAGGCACGTGCCTCCATGCCCACTTTTCGTATAAACTCAGATACTAGTCGACCTAAGCAACAAAAATCTGATGGGGATAGCTAGTGATAGAGGACTGGCGGAACATGTGTAAGGCCCTGGATTTGATCTCCAGCACCATCACCAAAAAACAAAAACAAAAACACCACTGATTGGAAACCATAATAGAGCAAAACATTTCCCTATCAACCATAGCTCCCCACTTCTGCTAGTTATTTGACTTTCAAAGGAGGACCAGGACCACTGCACCTGGTCTCTTGCCTGTTGGCCAAGCTCATCAATGTGTCCATGAACCATGAACCAAGTATCCAATAACTTGGAAACCTGTTCTTCTCCCAGCCGGGTACCCAGGGCAGCACCTGCTCTAGGTCATGCTCAGGGGTGCTGGCCCGGCGCTCTGCATCCTGTGCTGTAGAAAAGCCTGCGTCCCTGGGAGAAGCCCAGTGTACAGGCTGGCTGGCCTGTCCAAGGCACCCAGCTGGTGGGCTATTGCTCCTTTCACTGTTCAGTTGCCACTCCCTGTCAACATGAGCTGCCCTTCCTTTCTCCCTGGTACCCATGCAGACAGCATGTCTACAAGACCCTCGTAAGGCACATGTCCTTAGCACTCCCTTTGCCTAGAGAAATCCAAAGGAAGAAGCCTGTACAGGCAGAGGGGGACTTGTCAAGAGCCAGGTGTTATGGCACAGCCCTGTAATCCCAGCACTCTGGGAAGCTGAGGCAGGAGAATTCCAAGAGAGACCATCTCAAAATAAAAAGTTAAAAAAGAGTGGGGGATGTAGTTCCACATAAAGGCTCTGTGTTCAGTCCCCAGTACCAAGCAAAGAGGAAGAAAGGGCAAGAGGAGAGGAGGGAGATAATGAAGGGAAGAGGGTATGGCTGCGCAGCAGAGTGCTTGTCTCTCCATGCACTAGGTCCTCACTCCAGCCCACACTTCACCAGAAAGCTAATGGAAGATTAAATGTTAAATCTCTGAAAGGCCTATGAAGGGGAACTCTTAATTCTCCACACAAGATTTCAAAGTCCTTTATGGGGAGAATCCCCAAATTATGCCAGCCCCAGCCTCCACAAAGCAGGGTTGCCTGACAGAGCAATGTTTGGCCCAAAAAGAGTGGGGATTATTGGCCAGCAAATTTTGACATCAGTTAACTAGGAGAAGGGTTAGGGTGGAGACATGATCCTTCCCAGAGAAAGATCATGATGTATGCGTCACAGTAATGGAAAAAAGCATTTCTCCTCCATCCACAAGGAAAGACAACGTTATAGGCAACCTCAGGGGAAATCTGGATGCACAACAGGACCTAGCAAGCACTGGAGAGCGAGGCACAGGAGGCCTTCAGAGATGCTTGGAGAAGGGGGCACCAGCCTGGGTGCCCAAACACCAGGACCTGCACTCACCATCTTGGGTGGGGCCAGCACCAGGATGACAAACCGAACTTCACAGGAGTTTTCACCCCAGTTTTGTGGGCGAACCAGGCGGCTGATGCACACATGCCGTTTCTGCAGGGCTTTCATGGTACAGCTGGCAGGGACAGGAAGGCACACAGGATAGAGTTGCTACCTCAGGAGCTGCCCCCTACCCAGTCGCCCTGACTTGGGCCCCTGGTACCTCTGTTGGGGAGAACAAAGACTATGGCATGATGGACCCACTGCTCCCAAATGGTATCACCAAAGCCAGGTCACTTGTGGCTGGGCAGCCTTGGCAGGGACAGGAGACACCACTCCAGTGTAACGGGTGGGGTGGGGGTGCCTGCCTGGCAACTCACATGATACAGAGCCATGACTGCTGGTACTGCACCCCTCTGACCGTGGCCGTGACCCCTTGGATGGTATCTGACAGCAGCTGCACTGAGGATGGAATGGAGGGTCAGCCGTGCCCCGAGACCTCCCTGTGGGGTGGGGGAATGGGCCATACCTTTACTCTCTGTGGGGGCCTCTGCATCCGTAAAGAGCTTGGCCATGATCAGCTCCAAGTTGCAGTCAGGCTCAGCGTGGTTGGGGTCCTGGGCAAAGCGGCCTAGCATGGTCCGTAGCACATCATCCAGGGAGGTGGCTGTTTCATTCAGGATGATGCTGGCCTGGGCCAGGAAGCCATCCAGGTCCCGGTGCGCACGGATCTCTTCCCTGAAGTTCTTTAACTTCAGGTACTGGGGGGACCCCAGGCCCAACAATGAGACCACTGTCCCTCCTGGGCCTCGCTCCTCCATGGTGCCCCCTGGAGGCCTCTGCCCATCATCATGAAAGATCCGTTTCTAAGAGCAAAGCCTCAGCCTGGGGCTGGCCTGAGGTCAGAAATTCTCTGGGGTGGTGGAGGCGGGTGACAAGGGAAGGGGACAGTAGGAGCCTGCTTCCTCCTACCACACCAATGAGGCCCTGGCTGCTCACCTTGCGGGACGTGTGCAGGAGCACGCAGCCGTTGGATAGTGCTTCGCCTTCTGGGAAGAAGGGAGGAGGGCTCAGGGTTCTGGGGCTCACTTGGTAGAGTAGGGTTCCCTCCCCAGTCTGTCCCTGCTGTACACCCTACCGGATACGGAGGGCTGCACCTCCAGATTGACACGGACGAAGAAGCGGATGCTCTCACTAGACACGATGGAAGAATTGACTGTATCGAAGACATCATCCCCCAGGCTGTCTTCTCGGGCCTCTGACGTATCATCCACTTCATTCCTGAGACAGCTTGGGGATGGAGCTGTCACCCAGAGAGACCCGATAGAGCCCAGCAGTCAGTGCTGTGCACCAGGAGAGGCTCCAGGCCCAAGGCCCAGGTCCCCACTGACCCACTCAGGAATGAGAAGCCCCATGCAGGCCAGCAGAGAGCCCCCACCAGCAAGGAAGCACTGCTCAGAGGCATGTCCCAATACTTCAGTTACAGGGACCAGGCCCTGCCCTGTTCTGACCCTTCCTGTGTCATGCTGCAAACCTTGGGGTCTATCACATGGTATATCTCTGTAATCCTAGCTACTTGGGAGGCTGAGGCAGGAGACCAGCCAGGGCAGCTCAGGAAGACTGGCCAAAAAAGGGGCACATGTAGCATAGTGTGAAGGCCCACAGGAAGGCTCCCTATAATGAGAAAATGCTCCTCTCTCCTCTGAGCCCTGCTGTGGCTCCTGCTGTCCCCCCCCCCCGGCCTGTTCCTCAGGCTCAGTCCTAGTCCCTGTCCCCACCCTGATCCCTCACTCTGGAAAGCCAGGGCCCCAAGCTTGCCAGCTCTCGTCCTCCCAAGCCCACTGAAGGCTTCCCTCCCTCCCTGGCCTTCTGTGGGAACCCTCCTCCTCTAGGAGCCCTGCCTCTCTTCTGGCCCAGCTGGTACCTCTTCTGAGACTATTTGATGATCCCTATTTGTGACTACTCCAGGAAAAGGGGCCCTCGTAGTCCAGGGCATCGTAATGCCTAACCAACACCTGTGCAGGGACAGGGACGGGGTCAGCAGTACGCCTACCTGCCCGGCAATGACTCACCCTGAGTCACTTCCACCCGGCCCACCAGTTTCCTCTGCACATCCCCATGTTCTGAGCTAGGGTCTGATGAACCCATCCCTAAGCCTGTGCTGACACCATAGTCCAGAGAACTACTGGCTCAAAAGATGTCCTTGCTTTTGTCGTTCAGCTAGTGAAAACCTCCACCATTCCATTCCAGGCCTGCCTTGTTTAAAGCCACCTGGTTGCCCTGAACCTTGCCGACCAGCTACTGCTCCGCCACCTGTCAACACCCACACCCCACAAATGGCCCTCTTCTCTCCCTGCCCGTGGTGCTACCTTTCCTCAGGCTCAGCTCTTAGACCTTTAGTTAAGCACCTGCCAAAGTGCACCCAGCTCCCTGCCAGGGCTCCTTGGATGCCACATCCCTACCACTACTGGGAATGAAGTCACATGCTCAACTCCAAAGGCACCCAAGGTCTAGGCACTTACAATCCCCTGATGGCCAGGCCAGCTCATGGGGCTGGGCACAGGACTGGCAGCCAAGACACACAGAGGGGGCAACCAGATGTGTGAGCAGGGATAACTGATGCCCAGAGAGGTTAGACGTCCTTAGAGGGACGAAGCAGTCCCTCCCTCCAGGGCTGGGATGAGGGCAGACTCAGCCCTTGGCCACAGGCTGCTCAGACAGTGACCAGGGGAGGGAATCACAATACCTCAGGATCTGCCAATGCTCAGACTTGTGAGCCATCCTCCCACCAAGCCATGCCCTCCACAAAGTGGGGCTAAAGGTATTCCAGCACCAACACAGAGGCCAGGGCCTGCGCCACAACACACAGGTGTGTCACCTGGAGACAGCTGGGCTTCATGCACACACCTGAGAAGTACTCACTGGAATCCTCGAGGCCTCCGTTCTGAGACACAGCCAAAGAGGAGCTTTCTGCAAGAGAAACCAAAGAACTGTCTCCAGTCCTGTGGATCAGCCCTGGACAATCTCCCATGCGCACTTGCAACCCACCCCACACCTAACCTGTGATACCCCCCCCCCCCCGCAAGCCCACGACCAGCTCTTGCCATTCTTGACCCCTCCCAGAACCAGAGGAATAACAGTAACAAGGGCTGGTTGTGGTGGTGCACACCTATAATCCCAGCACTCTGGGAAGCCAAGGCAGAAGGATCACAAACTCAGGCCCACCCTGAACAATTTAACAGTTTAGGAAGACTCTCTCTCTTGGGCCAGGCATATATAGGTCGGGCACAGTGCTTGCCTGGCAAAGGTGCAGTTCTGAGTTTGACTCCCAGTACCAAAATAAGTAAATAAATAAATGGACTAGAATAAAACAAGACTTAAAATAAAAAATACAACAGGACTGGGGGTGTAGCTCAGCGCTAAGGCATTGAGTTCAGTTGCCAGAAAGGCAGAAGAGGGAGCAGGAACACAAGGTGAGGGCCCTGCGAAGTCAGGTGGAAGTTAGCCCAGATTTAAGTCATTAAATTTCCTCGCTGATGGGCTGCGGACTGCCCAGGTGCACAGCACTGGTCAAGGAATACTGTTCTCAGGGTGTTTTTCTCCCGAGATCACTAATCCAGGTTTTGCTGGCCGCATCCAGCCCTGGCCACCAGAGCTGGAGGGCAGGCACGGGAACCCCCGTTTCTCCCGCTCCAGCGCGGCCAAGTCTGAAACCTGGATCAGTAAGTTCTCTCTGCACATAGCTCCTTTCCCCTAGGCCGGTCCCGGTGCGGGTCCCATAAATGGACATCGCATGTGCAGCCCTCTCTCGTTGCCCGCGGCCTGGGTTACTCGGAGGCGACTCGGGCATCAGGCAGGTGGAGCAGTTGATGCAGAAGGGACAAGGGGCAGATGCGTGCTTGCGGAAGGAACACATGGGACATGGGATGCATCTCGCTCCCCGCGCCGAGCCCTGCCGTCCGGAAGCACAGGAGGGCGGCGTGCGCAGAGGAAGGCGCCCTCACAGGCGCAGAGCTAGGGTCGGGGCGGAGGCGGATGCGGTCGCGGTCGCGCGAGGTGGGAGCCTGAGCCGTGCCCAGAAGAGGGCGCGGCAGTGAAGGTGGCGCCCGAGGCCGCGGCGTGGAAGGCGGGCCAGGGACTGAAGGCGCGTGCAGGTACCTGGCTCCGGGCCGCGCCACGGGCTGCCTTGCAGACATCTCGGGGGCTTCTCAGCTGCAGCCAGGCACGGTCAGAACTCCGGGGCACAGGGGCGCCCCCGCAGTGCCCGAGGCTGAACGCCTGCGGAAACTAACAGGCGCCTTCCCGGACTGCAGCGGGCGGGCTCTGAAGAGCTCTGCGGGCGCGGGGTCCCGCGGCTCCGCTCCGCCTGCTTCCCATCCCGACCCCGCCACCCGCCGCATCACGGCCCAGACGTTGAGGGACCCCAGACGGCGAAGGCAGAGGCCTCAGGCACGCGCCCGACTGTGGCTCGCTCGCGCCCAACCCGCAGGCGCTCTCTGGCTCCCCGACGGCTCTGCGACCCCGCCGAGATGCTTCGACCTCCCAACCGCGCCCCAGCACCCACCGCACGGCTGGAGATGGAACACGCGCTTGCTGGCCCCGGCCATGGTGCGGGTGATCGGCGGACCGCTGCGTGCCGTCCTGGGCGCCGCGGGACCCCAAATGGCCAAGAGCTGGCGACACACCCCTGCGCCTCGCCTGGGTCCTAGTGCGGCTCGGACGCCCCGCCCGCGCGAGGCGGTGTTACCGAGGGCGGGATCGCGTCCGCCCGCCTCGCGGCTGAAGAGACAACTGCTCCCAATCCCGGAGCAGCTTGGTCAGTCCGCGTACACCCTGCTTCTTTCAGGCAACGCGCGCGCAGCCCTCACGCCTCTCGGGCGAAGGCCTGGGCGAGCTCGGGAAGATTTGAGAAACCCGACGGCCTCGCAGTCCCCGAGCAGTACTACTGCGGCGGGTCGGAGGCTTCTAAGGCGTCCGCTTTAACTGTGTCGCCGGCTCCCGCCCCGCTCTCTTGGGGGCCTCTGCTGGGCAGCGCCAGCCCACTGCTGCGCCTTCTCCATTCATCGCTCGGGCTCGGGCCAGGGCTCCGCCTCCTCCTCCGGGAAGCACGCCCGGACTAACAGGACCGGCCGACGCACCTTTCCCGGGCTCCGCCCCGCCCAGCTCCGCGGCGTCGGCTTTGCTCGCCTCCCAGTTCTCGGCTTCTTTCCTTAAAATGGCCCCGCTGCCTTCTGTCTTCCTGGACAGGGGGGAGCCCGCTCTCGTGCGAGGAGTGGTGCGCGCGTGAACAGGGAAGTGGTAGTGAACGCGGCAGGCGGGCGCGCGCGGCGCTGGGGCCTGGCAAGGGCGACCGTGTGCGGCCCGGCGGTGGCTTTACACAGCTCTCGTGCCGCTGAGGGACCCAGAAACACACGCCCCGGCAAGGGCCTCCTCCCGGCCTCTGCGCTTTATGCCTGCGACCGGAGACCCGCAGCGGTTCCGCTTACCCTGATGGGACTGAGGTTCCCCCTAGTTTTCCAGCCACGAAAGGGCAGAGGCACGCTGCTCTTCGAAGCAGCTGCACCCTCGAGGGCCCTTGGCGCTGGGAGAGAAGCATGGAGTCTTCCTTCAGGCCCCTCTGCCGGGCCCTTGGTACCAAACTGTTAGCAGAACTCCGGCCAGGCACAGGCAGCCTCCTTAGGGCAGAGGCTGGGCGGAGAGTAGGGGCGCTGACTGTGCCTAGGACAAGGCCGGGTGGGCCACCGCTGTCACCTCGAGCCTCTGCTGTCTGGGAATGCTGTGCCTTCTGTGTGACCCCCTTCCACGATCCGCAGCTCCCAAACAGCTGCACCTTCCCACCCAAGTTCATTCTTTTTTCCGCAGCCTCTCCCCCATCCACCCTGCCGAGGTGAAGACAAGTGCGGTGTGGCCTGGCCCCTCGGAAGCCCCTCCCCTGGGGCCTCTGACCTCCCGGGGCTTTGAACCCAAAAACACGCACTGGGTTCTCACCGGGCACCTCTTTCCAAAGCATTTCCGCCCTCACTTTACCTGTATGCAACTTAGTTGGTGTGCAGATAGAATTTGAGGAGAGAAGCAACTGTATATAGAATCTTGCTAAAAACCACAACTCTTTCTGAAACCTCCAGCCACACTTTTGCTCCAAATCACAACCCCCACTTCTCTTCAAATCACTCCTCTCTGGAGGATCACAATGAGTTCCAAGCCAGCCTAGCTACACAGGAACTACAGAAGACCTGGTCCCCAAAAGAAAAAGAAAAAAACCAATAAATCCCTTACACCTGGGTTCCATCTTCACCACTATGGAAACTGCTCTCCTAGGCCACCCTGCCTGGCTCTCTTGTCCCTCCTTGGGCAACATTTTGATGCTCTGTGACCTCCCTTCTGAGAGCACCCCAGGTTTCCCTTCACACACACACACACACACATGCTCTGTAGTCTCCGCCAACCTCCACGTTTTTTCTTTTTTTTGGCTTTTTCGTTTTTACCGGTACCAGGGATCGAACTCACGCTGCCTGCTTTTGAGGCAGGTGCTTATGCCGCTGAGCTAAATCCCCAGCCCCTCAGGTTTTCTCTCTTGCTGCTGAGCTCATGACTTCACAAGCCACAGCCTTCTTACCTGTACCTCACATGTACCCGAATGGCCAGTGCACAAATCACATGAAACCAACCCAAAATAGGGCTTCTGAATCTGCTCTCCACCCAAGTTGTTCCAAAGAGTCAGCCTGACTCACTCAAGTCAAATCCATTAGTAAGGGTTGTTGCCTTTACCTTCAAAACAGAGCTCAAGGGCTGGAGATGTAGCTCAGTGGCATAGCACCTGTCTGGCAAGTCTGAGGCCTGAGTTGATTCCCAGTACAAAAAAATAAAACCAACCCCCCCCCCTCAAAATCCCAGTTACTTGGAGGCAGGAAGCGGGCATGTTCAAAGCCAGGATGGACAATTCAGCAAAACTGTAACCTCGAAAGAAAAAAAGGGCTGGGAACCTAGCCTGATAACAAGAGTTCTTGTCTAGCATGTGTGAGGCTCTGGGTGTAATTCCTGGTACCAAAACCAAAACAAACCTCAGAGATCAGAACAGTCCCCAGGCAGCACTGCCTGCCCATGCCCCAGGACCTTTCTGCCACACACCTCCCTTCCCCCCTGCTCCCCATGAGCCACTCTCCTCCAGTGGCTTCCCTAGCAAAGGACATTTCCAAATGCCCCGTTGTGCTGCGGGGTGGCCAGGCTGCTGTGCATCCCAGCTGCCAGCTGTCCCCCACCTCGTCTTATACCTCCTGCTCCCCAGCACATGTCACTGCAGCCTGCAGCCGCAAGGCTGCCAGGCCTCCCTCAAGGCCTTGATACTGTGTGTATGGGGATCTCACAGTGCCTCAGGGACCTTCCCCGGTCACACACTCCATAGTAGGTTCCAGACTCTGGAGATGTCATTCCACTCCTCTTACTGCTTGCCTGGGTGCTGTCCACCTGGCTCAACCACTGCCTCAAGAGCTGGACTGGGTCCTAACAGCACAGCACCCAGCCCAGCATAATAGGCGTGCATTAAACCTGGATTCCCCTCCAATTACCCCCTACCCAAAGCAGATGGCTATCTTTCTGAGTAGTTACGAGGTATTTCAAACCAAAGCCACTCCCAGACAACCTTCTCTCCCTCTACTCACGCTGGCCCGGGTCCCCGCCTTCCCAGGGAGTAAACTCTCAGCTTCTCCTGGGCCTCCCCTCCATCAGCCTTATTTCTGCCTCTGCTCTAGGCTTTCTCAGCTTCCCAATCCTGGCTGCTCTGCCTTCCTCGGACCCCCGGCCAGCACGCTTGCAGCACCTTGAAGACAGCTCCAGGGCCTCGAGGCCCTGCCCTGCATCCCCAGCCCGAGGATCTTTCCCTCTCCCACCACGCTGCCCCTCCCTGTGAGGACCTGTCCTCTCTAAGAGTTACTTGTTGGAGCTCCACACCCAACTGTGAGATAGAGGGATGATAAATCCCTTATCCAAACCATAAGGGAAATGTAACGCCCAGCCTGCTGGGTGTCTCTAAAATCAAGAATGAAATCTAGATGCTATGGAAGTTAAGAGTAGGAAGAATTCATTTACACTGTCTGTCTAAAATGAAGAGGCCAGGTGAGGTGGTGCACACCTGTGATCCCAGCACTTAGGAAGTGAGGTAGGAGGTTTGATCTGAGTTTGGGGCCAGCCTGGGCTACACAGTGAGTCCAACCTGAACTACATAGTGACATCCTGTTTCAGAAAAATAAAAAAGTAAGATAGAAGGGGCCTGAAAGTAGGTTGCCTGATGACTCCACTTCTCAAGGGTATTTTACTGAACAAAACCACAAGGTGAGGAGGGTGTGAGTTGGAGCAAAACTATAGTCAACTAGCTCAGCAGCATAAAGTATTTGCCTGCCAAACTCGAGGTTGTAAGTTCGATCCCTGGTACCCAAAACAAACAACCATAGTCAACTAATAAGATTATAGGTATAGTTACCGGATCAATATTACCTACACAAGGTGGATGTGAAATGGGCAACTATGGCGAACCAATAAGATCACAAGTATAGTTGCTTAGGTAAAATTGGTTAAATAGGAATCAGGACCAAGGACTTAGCTCAGCGGCCTAAGTGCCTACCTTGCAAGCTTGAGATCATGAGTTCAATCCCTGGTACCAAATAAATAAATAAAAATGGTTATCAAATGGGGAGGCAAGTCACATAGCTAGCACACGTGGACAGAGCAAAGATTTTCTAGGAAGGAAAGGTCCCTAGCCAAGGTGCCTGATGTCTAGTTAGAATATCAGCCGCTGCTGGGCATCCCTAGGGGAAGTATGTGAGCGCAGTAATCCCTCTTTCCTGAAAGCCCGGCATTCAGTGAATGCGCCTCCAGCCATGGTTGTCCTCTGCCCTGACCTCCAGGGCCCAGCCCTGTCTGACTGCTTTAGTTATTTCTAAATAACTTAGCTATCTGCAATTTATGGATCAGGTCTATGGCCAGGCTCACTGCCTACCCATCAAGTCCCTGGCACTCTCTGGTTGTCCCAGTGGGCCAGCGGCCAGCAGCCATGCCAACCTTCTGTCCATCTCTGATTCCTTGGACCATCTTCTCCCAAGATGCCTTTCCCTTCTCTGATGAGACTGGATACACTGGTGTACCAGGGAGGGCCTCTACTGGCCTCCATTCTTTCTTGGGGCATTTCCAGGTCCCACAGCAGAATGGCCCAAGTGACACAGCAGTAAACTCCCCCCCCCCCCTTTTTTTTGTCTTTTTCGTTTTTACCGGTACTGGAGATCGAACTCACGACTGCCTGCTTTTAAGGCAGGCGCTTATGCCGCTGAGCTAAATCCCCAGCCCCAGTAAACTCTCTCTTGGTGGCCACCCACACTGTACCCTACTGAGGCCCCTGTCACCAAGCCAGGCCTGCTCCTGGGTACCCAGTATGACAGTCACTGAAAGTTTTGAAGAAGAGAAAGTGGCCCAGGATGGGATGGTGGGTGAGTCCCTTAGGAGACAGATTTAGGGGTGTCTCTGGGATAAGGGCAGGAGGCCTGCAGTGTGGGCAAAGGACCTGGAGGCAGAGGATGATGGTGGTGGTGGTCTGCATGAACACAAGCAGACTTTCTAGCAACATGCACTCAGAAAATGGGCTGTGAGCAGGGAGGACAGGTGGAATTTGGGCTTCTCTGCTATAAAAACTCACCCTTCACCTGGGTGTAGTGGCACATGCCTGTAATCCCAGCACCTGGGAGGCTGAGGCAGGAGGACTGTTACAAATTTGAAGCTAGGGGCTGGGGATTTAGCTCAGCGGCGTAAGTGCCTGCCTTGCAAGCAGGCAGTCGTGAGTTCGATCCCTGGTACCGATAAAAAAGAAAAAGACAAAAAAAAAAAAAAAAATTGAAGCCAGCCTGGGTTACAAAGTGAGCTCAGGGGCTGAAGATTTAGCTCAGCAGCTCAAGTGCTTGCATGATAAGTGCAAAGTCCTGAGTTTGATCCCCAGTAGCTCCCCCCAAACAAAAACAAACACAAACAAACAAAAAACCAAAGTGAGCTCAAGATCAGCCTGAACTGCATAGCAAAACCCTGTCTCAAAAAGACAAAAATAAAAACAAACAAGGGCAG